TCTATGGAGACTTTTTCTCTCTCTATGGAGACTTTTCCTCTTTACGGGGGCTTTACGGGGACTCTTCTCTATGGAGACTTTTTCTCTCTCTATGGAGACTTTTCCTCTTTACGGGGACTTTACGGCAACTTTACGGGGACTCTTCTCTATGGATATTTTTTCTCTCTCTATGGACTTTTCCTCTTTACGGGGACTTTACGGGAACTCTTCTCTATGGAGACTTTTTCTCTCTCTATGGAGACTTTTCCTCTTTACGGGGACTCTACGGGGACTTTACGGGGACTCTCTCTCTCTATGGAGACTTTTTCTCTGACTTTTCCTCTTTACGGGGACTTTACGGGAACTCTTCTCTATGGAGACTTTTTCTCGCTCTATGGAAACTTTTCCTCTTTACGGGGACTTTACGGGGACTTTACGGGGACTCTTCTCTATGGAGACCTTTTCTCTCTCTATGGAGACTTTTTCTCTCTCTATGGAGACTTTTCCTCTTTACGGGGACTTTACGGGGACTCTTCTCTATGGAGACCTTTTCTCTCTCTATGGAGACTTTTTCTCTCTCTATGGAGACTTTTTCCTCTTTACGGGGACCTTACGGGGTCTTTACGGGGACTCTTCTCTATGGAGACTTTTTCTCTCTCTATGGAGACTTTTCCTCTTTACGGGGACTTTACGGGGACTTTACGGGAACTCTTCTCTATGGAGACTTTTTTCTCTCTCTATGGATACTTTTCTCTTAACGGGGACTTTACGGGACTTTTAAGGAGACTTTACGTGACTCTTCTCTATGGAGACTTTTTCTTCTCTCTATGGAGACTTTGTCCTCTTACCTTTGACTTACCACGGGGAACTCTTCTCTATGGAGACTTTTCTCTCTCTAAGGAGAACTTTTTCTCTCTCTATGGCGAAGTTTTTCCTCTCTCTATGGAGACTTTACGGGGACCTCCTTCTCATGGAGACTTTTTCTCTCTCTTGAACAACTTTTTCTCTCTCTATGGAGACTTTTCCTCTTTACGGGGACTTTACGGGGACTTTACGGGAACTCGTCTCTATGGAGAGTTTTTCTCTCTCTATGGAGACTTTTCCTCTTTACGGGGACTTTACGGGAACTTTACGGAGACTTTACGGGGACTCTTCTCTATGGAGACTTTTTCTCTCTCTATGGAGACTTTTCCTCTTTACGGGGACTTTACGGGGACTTTACGGAGACTCTTCTCTATGGAGATTTTTTCTCTCTCTATGGAGACTTTTTCTCTCTCTATGGAGACTTTTCCTCTTTACGGGGACTTTACGGGGACTCTTCTCTATGGAGACTTTTTCTCTATTTATGGAGACTTTTTCTCTCTCTATGGAGACTTTTTCTCTCTCTATGGAGACTTTTCCTCTTTACGGGGACTTTACGGGGACTCTTCTCTACGGAGACTTTTTCTCTCTCTATGGAGACTTTTCCTCTTTACGGGGACTTTACGGGAACTTTACGGGGACTTTACGGGGACTCTTCTCTATGGAGACTTTTTCTCTATTTATGGAGACTTTTTCTCTCTCTATGGAGACTTTTTCTCTCTATGGAGTCTTAGAGGTTAGTGAAATGCACAATATTGTGGTTAGTGAAATACACAATATTGAGGTTAGTGAAAATATAAGGGTCAAGACATTTTTTGTGGTTAGCAAAATCTACCTTGTTGGAGTTAGGCAAAGATCTCTTGAGGTTAGCAATTTGGCTTGTAAGGGTTAGAAGTGCGTCTCAACTTGCAATGCATGATGGAATGAGATGTGGTTCATTAAGGCAGATATTTCATTGAACCTATCCAGCAGAGATTGGAGCACCAGTGCGATCACGCGTGCGGCGAGCAAACACGCTGCGCCTTGGATGCAAAGTTGGCATGCGCTACAAAACGGTGTTATGTCTTTGCCAATGAAGTGCTTTGCGCTCGCTGATGAGGGGTGCGATTTTGCCTTGGCAAGCGCTTGGTATCCAGCATCGCGTGCGAAAAGAGTGCAACCACTGGCCTCTGGCAGGCTACCACTTGGTGTCGCTGGCCTTACAATAACATGGTTTGACCGCTTAGTGGCAGTTGTATTTTCTAAGAATATAGACGTGTCCAAGACGTATTGAGCCAAGCCCTGCTCAGGTGATGGCCTTGTCCGAAAGATTGTGGCAAGGATATCTTCAACAGCTTTGATGCCACCCTCGTCTTCTCACTGCTGGCGTCGTGTGGTGCGGCCTTTGTTCTACCGAAGGTTTCGCAGCCAGAGTCTCGTTTGCAAGAAACGCATTGCCACTTGCAGCTCGTATATGTTGTTGCTGCCTGACCGATCCTGACTAGTTGCCTACTGACAGATGGTGCCCTGAGGTCGCAGCGTATACAGTCAGATGGCAGTGCCGAGACACCAAGCAACATCTCCGAGCGCCTCAACTGAATCATACCTCCAGCAGCAAAAATTCATGAACATGACTCGCTACGGCTTGGCTGGGGCTAATATAGCCATTCAAGGCTGTAGTGTCTGTATGCTACATTGTAAGGATTATAGGAAAGGGTCTTGTCCTGAGATTGCAGCTGGCTTCTACGGTTAGTCTTCAAACAGCTTCAACTTAATGATTATACAAAGCTGATAAGGCAGTCGGTATCAGACAGAGATGTCAGCCCTCAAGTGCCCATGTCCCTTGGCTCATTATATAATTGCTCTTCTTCAGCTTTCACTCGTGCAGCCTTGTTCGTTGAAGTGTCTCTAAGCCAACAAAGTCCGAGGAGACACGAGCAGTCAGATTGTGATCGGTTGTCACTTTTCTGCAAGCAATGAGTGTCTTGTGAAAAAACGGTCATGACTGAATGACCCATGTGTTGCTTCTGGTATACTGGTGAGGCAGCTGCTTGCACAACTTCGGCATCTCGGCAGCTGGTACATAATCAAAACAGTGCTCCTCCTTACAGCCTGAAGCTCGTGCCCCCAAGCGGAAGCCGAGGTCTGAACAAGCCAAGGCACGTGCAAGCTACAAACAGCGTCTTGACCATAAGGTCAGTGTTTCGTTATCAAGGGAAGGAGCCGATGAACAGGCCCAGAGCAAGGTATATGTGGTTTGCAGTTGTTATGCTAAGGCCTGGCTTATCGAGGCGCCAGCGCCGCCGACGATACGAGGATGTGTATTGGTCCAATGTTCACATCAACGCGATTCTGCGGAAAGAGCGTCGTGAGCGGCGCATGGACAAGCTTGTGCTCAGCATCCTTTCGGAAGCAGAGGCGACAAACCTATCCACTTGCCAAGGTTCCTAAGCTTGCACACTTTTAGAGAGTGAGTGAGAAAATGAAAGTTTTTTTGAGAGGCGAATCGATGCTTGAGGCTACCAGGTTATCTAGAGGACTACTAGAGGAGCCAAACATGTCTAGTATCGTCCAATTCATCTATGTTTGTGGGGTGTTGCACCCGCACATGCGATTGGAATCTGCTATATATGTCTTGTTAGAGTGATGCTTTTGAGTCTGGCTGGCCTTCTCTGAAGTTAATGCTGCTCAGGTTTGCATGAGGAACCAGTGAAAGGCAAGGTCACGCTTGCTTGCCTGCTAGCATTACTCCTGTTTGCTTGGTTTCTTTTTTGGCACCTAAGCGGAAACTGCTGGACTACAGGCCATGGACTTCGCCGGCGCAATTCTGTCGCCACTGGGAGTGACAAGACGCTGGCGCAGTCACTTATCTGTGAGTGCTGTATGTTGATGTTGTGATAGCAAGTGCGAACTGACTGCAAAAGAATGTCCTTTGACCCTGGCTTTCACCTGAGGAGTCGTTGCGATGATTGCTTCAAAGATGTTTGTCTCGTCGACGCTCTCCGAGCTCATGGCTTCAAGGTACCTTACACTGGTGACGGGCCCTTCTGGGCAATAGCAGATGGAAATCGCTTCTTGCAGCCATGGCAGCGTCTCGCCCGTACTGCTGCGATGTGTTTCGGAATGTCAGACTTAAGTAGCCATGGATGAAACGAAACGGCAACAAAAGGACATTGCAGATGATAGCTGGAACCATGTCAGCATCTTTCAGGTCCATATGTTGCAATGGTTTCTACAATGAGAACTAAGGCAATGTGTCAAGAGCGTGCCTGCTACACACTTGCCGCAAGTCGGCCCTGGCATCTACATCCTTCATTCCCGGTCCCACTTCATTGCTGCAAGGTGCGTAGAGGGCAAGTGGGAAGTAAATTTCGGAAGACGCACCCACACCTGGAACGAAGCCGATCTGTGCTTCCAGCCACATAACCCTCAACCTTGGTGGCTGCAAGGGACACATTGGCAGCTGAACACCTGTCAGCTGTCCGCATTTTGCATTTGCCCAGTGGCCCGAGTAGGAGGCGCAGGAAAAGCCATCAAATTAGAATCATTTGATTGCAGAGGAGGCTCATCGCCTGCCTCAACCATCTTCCCAAAGCTACCGTCTTTCGTAGACAGCGAATTCTCCGGTAGCGACCTTTCATCGAGCCCGACAAGCTCACACGGCTCACACGCTCCCGTTCATGACTTGTCTCTCATGGCTATTCGCTGCCGAATCACCATTTTCGAGGGACTGCTCTGTGACTACAAAGCCTTGTTGGCGCATATGCCATCACTTTTTGAAACGGTTCCTTCACCGTTTAGCCCTTGCACCGACACGGCATGGTATGCACAGGTTGCAGAGAGGCGCACTGCCTTGTCTCTTCTTCGCACGGCAGCTGGGATAGACAGTACAGATGGCGACGAACTTGTGGCCCGGATTTCCAAAAGGATGCGCATCCACATTGCACTGCTACGCACTTTCATGACACATATGCAGCAAGATCCTCAGGATTACTATGCCCTTCCCAACCCTTGCGACCATGCTATGTCCAAGAGAGTGTGGGAAAGGGTCATGCACCAGCAGCGACAGAAATTTCGTGCAATCTTTGGAGGCGATAGCTCAAATTTTCATGCAATCCTATTGCTTTGCATTGGCGATATTGCTGCATATTGTGGCGACCATATTGCCCCTCTATGGCAGGTGTCATCAACCTTTCGAAACACAAAACTTGGCCTGGATGCGCGAGGTGGAAGCATCAGTATTGCCTTTGCTTGCACAGGAGAAGAGGTGCTGCGCCTGGATGTTACAGATGACTCTACGGTCATGTGGATGAAGCAGCAGGTCGGCACGCACTTGCGACATCCGCCATTTGGAGTGGCATTGTTGGTGGATGGCCGCTGCGCTTCGAACCATCTTACCTGGTCCACCCTGGGCAAGCCGTATGGCATGCTTCTCGTTCTGAAGCAGAAAACAGATGAGCATTCTCCTGACTTGTTGCAAGCTATAGTGGATGATGATGTCGAAGCTTTGACCCACATCCTTGAATTGGGGCAAGATCCAAATGGATGGTTGTGGGATGCGGCAGACCAACGCTTTCATCATGGTCTATTGTACGCTACCGACACCAGCTCCATTGCGAGCGTGCGCTTGCTGCTAGAGGGGTTTGCAAATCCAAATGTGCTGACCGACGACCGTCGCAGCGCCTTGCATGCAGCTGTTGCGCACGACCAAGAAGAGATTGTGTCAGTTTTATTGCAATGGGGGGCAGATCCCGACTTGCAAAACAGCAATGGGGACAGCCCCTTGCACCTGGCAGTTGTTTACCAAGACGTTGTGTTTTCGGCCTGTCTTCTGTCAGCTGGAGCAGATCCTCTCCTTTGCAATAGCGATGGCCAGGCACCCTTTTACTCTGCCGGAGCAGGCCTCATGGCGGCGATGTGCATCCACCAATGCGCTGCTCGCGCCACGCCTACGGATTGGATCATCCGACAGCTGCCAAACATACTTTCGTATTGCTCTGGGAGAAGGTTGTGGGCAGTGTGTAGATCTGTGTCGCAACAGCAAAGGTACTGGGATGTGGAAGATGTGCTTGGCGGTGGAGACCTGCCGTTTGACCATGTGTCCTTTGTTATGGCATACACAGGGAGTGAGATTTGCGTCCTGCCAGCCTCCGAAGAGTCTATAGTCATGTCCTTAAAGCAAGGTGTGGCTCTTCACCTAGGACATCTTCCTTTTGCAGTTCGTCTCCTTGTGGAGGGTCAGCCAGTTCCAGTGGGAGGAACTTGGCCAGCGCTTGGGTCACCTCGAGTCATGCACGTGGTTCTAGCACCCACAACCACCAATCGCACAATAGATTTGGTCAATGCTATCCAGGAACAACAGCATGACACAGTGATCGAGATTCTGGAAGCCGGGCAAGACCCTAATTGCCAATGGATGGGGCGCTGGCGCGCCGAGCCTGTCACTCATGTTGCAGCATCTCGTGGCCATTTCTATTCGCTGCATCTGCTTCTGGCTGGCTTTGCAAATCCCAATGTCGCCACCAGCGACGGGCGTACGGCCCTGCACTTGGGGGTCCTGGCAAACTCGCCAATGACATTGCACGTCTTAATGGACCATGGAGCCAACGTGCATGCCAGAGACTCCCAGGGCGCAACCCCTTTGCATTTTGCTGCTGTGACGGACAGCGTCGCTCTCGTCCAGCAGCTGCTCTCCGCGGGGGCCGATCCCTTGCTGCCCGATGCACACAACGATCCGCCACTTTCATGGTGGTGCGGCGCCAACGTCAGAGCAGCACTCATGGACAGTTGTTGGTCGACATTGTCATATCCTTGCCTTTTGCGTCTGAATATGCGGGCTTTAAAGTTATATGTGCAGTGTGGCCAGCTGCGGCTGCTGTGCCGGACCTTACGGGATTGCCTCGGTGGAAGCCCTGCTCTCTTACTGCACCAGTACATCTTTCGCAAGCCAGCTGCCCCTGCAGACCGCCCGCGAATGTGGCTCCAGCTCAAGCTTTTTTATATGCACATCGAGCCGCTTTCATCCACTCTGGGCAAATATCCACACTTGTTTTGGGTTTTGCCAGTTCCATTTGATGTTTCGCATCACTTTGAGGAGTGGAAGGTGCAGCTTCTCGCAGCAAAAACTTTCATACAGTTGCTCCAGCTTGGGGAGCTGTCCAATCTGGAGGCTGCACTGACTACATGGTTTTGGCCAGAGATTATTCAAGACCTTTCCCTACTAGATGTTTTGAGCACAGCGAAGACATCATCTAGCAAAAAGGTTCGCAAGCGACAGCTATCAAGCGCCGTGCTCTTCTTCTCCACTCTGGCAAGGCCATATGGCCAAACTGTCCACAAGAAAGTGACTTCCATGGGTACAAGCGTCTTTTATCGCCACGTCCTGTTGCAACGGTTCTTGCAAACATGCCAAAGCAAGCCAAGAACCAAGTCCAAGGTGCATCCATCATCAGTTCTGCTGCTTTCCGCAGCTTTGGGGTCACATTTTGGCGATTGCCTAGGCGGCGCATTGACGGACCCAGCTGCATATGTTCACCTTTGCAACAACAAAGAAAGGGCTCGCAGTCGCAAAATGCAGAAGCTCACTCACTGGACGCAAAGTCATGGAGGAATGGAGTTGCCCTTGCGGGGAGACAGCGTGGATGCTATGGTTCCCTATCGTCACGAACATTTTGCTCCCTGCGTAGACATCACAACTCTGGCATGGCTTCACCCCCATGACAGAGACCGTCACGTTCGGTTCGAGTCTGAAGGCCACGTGTATTACATCCGTGGCAAGCAGACCAATGGATCTGTGACTGGGTTGATCCATGCCTTCGCACGACCATTCGATGCCGACGAAGCAATTTCCAAGATGATGGCAGGTGACAGATGGCCTCGCGCAGGCTATTTGCGACCATTCTTAGGAGAGACTGTATTGAAGCGCGTCCGCCAAGTTGATGCAGACCTTGTGCTTGCTCTCCTGGACTCCCCCCGCAATGACACATGGATCTCCAACCGGCTCCAGGGCCTGCGGACGAACTTTCCAGAGATTGTCCAGAGTCTGGTATTTGGCCCGCATGAAATCAAGCGCATGTGGGAAGCCAACCGAATTGATGCTGCTCTTCGAGGCACCCACATGCATTTTTGGTTTGAAGCGCATGTGAATGGATATGTGGTGCCAAAAACAAGTCCAGAATTCTCGATGCTTGAAACCTTCTTACAAGACATGCAAGGGTGGCGCGCCTTCCGCACGGAATGGGTTATTTTTGGTGAGGAAGAGAACATAGCTGGGTCGATCGATCTCACTGCTATAAACCCAACTGGACAATTAGCATTGATTGACTGGAAACGAACGTCAGACCTAGCGTCCAAATTTTCTTCTCCCTCCAAAATGCTCCCTCCTTTGGCTCATTTTCCGGATTGCGCTGGTTGGCATTATCGTCTCCAACTGAATATCTACAGGTACATCATCGAAAAGTATTATAGCTTTGAGGTGTCACTCATGCTGGTGGTCTGCACACATCCAGACCAGCAAATGCGGCCTTTCGTTGATCACGTGCCGCGTCTTGAAACGGAGGTGGATGCCATGATGACTATCTGGAAGGATATTGCACGTGGACACGATGTCCGCGGGGGATCCACCTGCGATCCACATCTGGTGGGAGAGATGGAAGCCGAGCTGGACGCCCTAGTGGCACAGGAGATGTTAGAGCCGGAAGAAGCAGAGGCACCTCAAGATGCTCATTGTCCTGCCAGTCAAGCTGCCGAAGATATCCCTCGCCCAGAAGAAGATGACGAAACTTTGCGGCGATGCAAGAAGCGCCGCTTGCTACCTGGAGCCACCCAGTCCATGCCGAAATTTCAGGGAGAGTTTTTCAACATGCGAACCACCGCCAGGAAATCGTTGGAAGCTGCACTGGTCAAGGAGCCTGAGCAGTACCATTCCCTGCTTCATCAGAGCAGTCGCATAATCTCACAGATCCGGAGTATGAGGCCAGAGTGGCCTGAGCAGCTGGTCCGTGTGGTGGCATGTGCTTGCAGATTGCCTCACATGAGACTCTGCGATGCATACCTCCGAGAGCATATCTATCTGCTTTGGCTGATGGAAGGGGGCCGATACCTTCGGGTTCACAACGGGCAATGCTTTTTGTATCATGATTGCGGCGCGTTTCAAGTCTTTCGCGGCAGTCCTCCAGAGCAAACAGTGGCCCGAGTGAAGGAGTTCATACTTCAGCTGGAAGGCTTGTTTCGGTGCCTCGGTGGTGGTGTGGAGCGAACAACTCCCAGCATAGTCGACGCTGTGGACAGCATGGAGACAGAGAGAGGTGGAAACATCAAAGCAATGCTTGACAGCTGGATAGATGCTGCAATTTTCATGAAACAGGTGCAACGTGCGCGCAGGCTCCAGCAGTTTGACGAAGATGGCGATGAGCAAGCTGATGGCATCGGAATTGCTAATGCGGGCGGATGGGCCCAAAGCATTGCGACTGCTCTAAGCAAAATGAGTGTCACTTTGCAAAAGGAAGTCATGGATGATAAGATTTATAGTCTTATGATAGAGTGGTGCGAAACACCTAGCAACAAACGAGCAGGCTGCGCGTACAAGGATCTTTGTGTCGTCTATGACTCACAGGAAGGCAACATCATGTTCGTTCAGCCCAGCCATGCGAACAACATATACACATTGATCCCGCATGCCTTGAAACCTGCCTTGCCTGATCCAGTTCTTCAGGCCGCAACTTGTCTGGATTGATTCTTTTTGTTTGTGTCGTTAAAAGCTTTTGCTGTGCATTTTGCCGTTGGTGTCCGCATAAACTTCTAAGGCAAGCGCTCGCTTGGAGAAGTTTTTCCAAGAGACCTTCTGGCGAAACTTTGACGTGTTTTTATGCTGCCAAGCTGCTCAGGCACTTGCCAAAAGAGGCGAAAATATTGACCGATGTTTTATAGGTGAGAGCCCGGGTGGTGTTGGGCAGTCTCTCTATAGCTCCCACCTGAATGCCGTTTATGGCCACAATCATGCCTTCATTGATCCCAACATCTGGTATGACGAGCAAGAACTTCGGAAACAGATAGAGCAATTTGCAGGCTGTTTTATTTTGACAGCACAGGAGGCACCAGAAACTTCTCGACGCATGCGTGAAGACCTTTACAAGAAAACAATGAGTGCTGATGGAATGGCTGGCAGGCGGCCATACGGGTACGTAACGCGCATGATTGAACTCATTGGCTGGAAACGGATGGAGGTGAACCGTTTGATGTTGTTCAAAGGCGTTTCCGAGCACAACTTCCCTTCGATCCTGCGGCGCAGCTTTCTCTGGCGTCCCCATGCCCGCTTTGTATGCCCCCAATTCTTGGAAGAGCATTACCCAGATGCAGCGGAGGATGGATACTTCCCAAAAGATCCTACTTTGAAGGACTTTCTCGTTTCCGGCCCAGCCATTGCTAGTAGTGTGCAATTGCAGCATGCATTTGAGCACACATATTCGCGAAAGGCATGTCTCCACATGATCGAGTCGTATTGCAATCTTGGTGGGGATCAAGGCCTAACAGAGGATAAGATGCGAATGGCTTGTGGCCTGCAGCCGCGGCGGCGCGACACTGCATTGGCTCCTGGACTTGGCCCAGTGGACGATCAACTCACCCAGGAGGAAGCTGAATCTTTGCAAAAGCAACTGGAGGCAGTGGTACGCCGTGTCATGGAGGAGTGCCTGAGCAAGAACCTTTTTGCCATTTCCTTGGAACACTTCAAAAGATTATCTTTGCCAGCAAACGCACCCAATTTTGATCGGGAAAGCCTGGTAAAGCAGCTCGAAGTGCACTCCTGGGCGAAGGAAGTTTGTCGATCGCGGGGCAAAGGCAAGCGGCTCATTGTTCCATGTGTCTTGGGTTCCAGCTGCTTACAAAGTGTCATAGACCTACAGGGGGAGATTGTGCCAATGGTGTACCCCGAGCTGTGGCATGTAAGTGGCTTGCGGGAGTTTGCGTCCAGGCACCTTGCAAGAGAACACAATGTTGTTACCATGATTGCGCTTTTTGATGCGCGCGCCGCTGCCTTGAAGAAGCGAGGATCCGGAAAGCTCAGTTCCGAGAACAAACTCCGATATGACAGAGATGTAGAAAAAAGATGTAAATTGGATGCCAGCGAAAAACTGCTTGGTACTTTTCTGGCATCTGCTGACCGTGATGGGCAGCCAAGCGGTCACAGATGCATTGGCAAGCAGCAATGGCGAGAAAGCAAGATGAAGTACCAGCAAACCATCCCTAATCTCATCAGAGGCAGAAGATATGCTTGTGACGCAGGAGCACAGCAATGCTCTCGGAAACTGCTGAAATTTCTTTGTCCTAACAGTACAGATTTAGATTCATGGCCTGATGCATTGGGGTAAGGAAAGGTTGTTGTTCTTACTGCTCGGGAATCTTCTGCACGTACTTCCCATGCATGTTTTGTTCACATCCCAGTCAACTAAGGATATCGAGAACGCGTATTTCACACTGATGTGGCAACTCGTTCAGAAACTGCAGGCTACGCTGCCCATGCCCGAAGAGGCCGCCAGGATGCTCGAGCGATGTGCCAAGGCGCGTGGCGATGTCATTGCGGAGTTAGGCCTGTCAAAGACACAGGGAAAGCAAGTATTGCTACAAGTTATCAATGGCGGGAGCCCTCCTACCAACCTCTCTGGACATGATGTGATTCTTGGGCTTCGGAAAGCTTGCATTTGGATGAAATGCTTGGCTGTGTCAAACCTTCCAGATCTTTATGCCTACTGTTGCAAAGAAAACAAGCCAGTCCCGGAGAATTCCGCCATAGCTTACTTGTATCAGGCTGTGGAGGATTTAGTGCTCTCGAGCTGGGTAGATTACCTCATGACACTGGATCTCTCACACTTGTCTCTACATTTTGACGGCTGCAGGATCCAGGGTCGTTCCCTCGACATCGAGTCAATTTGTCAGTCATCATCCGAATGGATTGCCAAGGAGACCGGCTTCCAGGTTAGCGTGAAGGAAAAGAAGCATTACTTTTTCTTAGACCTATTGAAGAAGGAAGGGCGATTCAATGAAACCAAGACCCTGTCAACCAGGCTTACTAGTCCAGCAAACGGGATTCTGGCGTGTTTGGCCTACGTTACGGATCTGTGGTCTGAGTTGGAAGCATGGCTTGAGAAAGACTCGTCAGAGCTTGAACAAGAGCAAAGGCACCGTTCGTACAAAGAATGCTTCAATGCCGCGAAACTTTCTTGCGTGCCAGAACTAGGCTGCTGTGTTCAAAAGCCGGGAAAATATTTGCTTCATTGTGAGCACACAGGCTCGCCGCTCGTTCTTGGCTGCCTATGTGCAGAGGAGGCCTGCAAAGTCTTGATTGGGGATGCAGTCTATGACATCGGAAAAGATCTTCTAAACAGCTGTGCTGAGGAATCAATAGATTCTGCGTCTCTAGTGACATTTTGGCTGCAAGATGAAGATGAAGGCGCAAAGCGACAGAAAGACAATGGCATCCTCTTAGAACTTCAAGCAGGAGTGGACTTAATAGGAGGCGCGAATTTGGATCAGCTTTGCGTCTGTGAAGGCTTGGTCGAAGGTTCAGACGATGAAGGCATGGCTGGAGCAGCGCAAGCTGACAGTCACTCCGAAGCAGCTGTGCGTGTCGGGGACGACCTTTTGGCTTTATTGAAGCAGGAAAGAGATGCAATCCGTGACAGCACAGAGACTGTGCATGAGGGGCGTTTTCATCGTTGTCCATTGTGTCCGTTCCGGCACTTTAGTCGTCCCGGGCGCGTGGCGGAGCATGTCCAACGATATCACACAGCCAAACGCCAGTTTTCCTGCAGTGGAACAAAGCAGATCCGAATCATCCAAGCTTTATTCGATGATGACCAGCTTCGGAATGTCCCACCAGCTGCCCGGTACCTGAGAAGAAGCGCTGCCATGCTTCGCGCATCAGTCTCGCAAGCGGATGCATCCATCAACCACCTCGACCGCCACCTGCGCTTAGTTCTCACTGAAAAGGGCCCAGTATACAAAAGTTATGAGGTTGTCGCTGATAAGGACAGCCCATATCGCCGGGCCAAGAACTTGTACTACACCCACGGATTTGCTGATTTGCTTTACCAAGAAATGATGGTCTGCAATGCGAAGGTAAAGCAAGCATCTAGGCTCACAGTTTCAAGGCCTGTCTGACGTCGCATCTGTATGTGATCTTGTGTGTCTGTTCTAGTTACTATAGTTTAACTATCTTGACCCTCTTGTTCGTCTTTTGGCCGCAGCCCTGGTCTGTGGTTGCATGATTGCATCAGCTCTCTAAGGCAGCTAGTCGCTTGGCATTGCGCTTATCAGCTGGCGGCTCGAAGCTTACGAGCCTCCTGCCCCAGCATGCCAGACATTGGTGGCCATTGGTGGAAGATATCTTTTACTCTGAAGCTGTTCAGAAGATATTCGATGCTGCCATGGCAGAAGCGGTGGACCACACCGAATTTGAGTTCATCAGTGTGGATGCCACCTTGAAGTGCTGTCTGTCTATACTCGGCCAAGCTTCTCTCAGAGCCGGTGCGAAGGAGCAAGCGGAAGCTGTTTTCAAGGGGAAGGATTCGTTTCGAAAGGCACCTGACCGACATATTGAAAAATGTTATCTGAATAAAAGCCGAAACAGAGTTAACGTAGCATTTAACTGCTTCGAATCCTTGTAAGTAAGCTCTGAGTTGTGCTTTGTCTCAGGTACTGACAGCTCGAGGCCGCACGGGATGTGTTCTACTGATGGCTCCGGTGCCAAGCGAGGACGCTTCTGCCATTGCCGAGCATTTGGCCAGCTCTCTCCCTCTGAATGGCTTGGCCCAGACTAGAGTTGTGTTCACTGATGATCCTTCGGCGCGCTTATTGTCCACTCTGAGGAATGTCATGCCAAAACTAGAGCTCCTGTGCCTTGACCCGGTCCACCTCTGCATGACCTTTGAATATGGCACATACAGAAGGAGGACCAAGGCTTCGACCACATTGAGGGCAATCATGAACAAATTCAATGCTGTGGACTTTGTCAGTCCCAACGGCTACAAGTCCAGGCCCTTTAACGGAATCATGGCTGTTGACTTTGATCATGTGACAAAAGCCCGCAGGGAGCAGATTTTAAGCGGTGGAATGGCCAAGGCCCGGGCTGAAAGCATTCTTGCCGCCCTTGATCCAACAAAGCCTTGGAAATGTGAAAGAGATGTGATTGAGGCCATAGCAGCCCTGGCCTGCTGTTACACTGATGATGTGGACAAAACCATTCCCGGCCCGAATCGTTCCGGGCGACAGATCTTGTATACTGCATGTGCACCGGCCAGATTGCAGTGGTACTTTAACAACATCCGCGCGCGGCATTCGCTGCCGGCGGATAAGGTTGTGCTTTTGCCTGCAGGGACAACCTCAAACGAGGCACTGCACGCAGAGGTCCGGGCATGGTTCCGAGAAACGCAGCAGATGCACAAGAGCACCTTGCAAATCAAACTGCAGGTGTTGCATCTAGCAAAACTTGTTTCTCACCATGTAGCCATGTACAGACCATGCCTGCGACAAGTTTCATCCAACTGCGTCCTGGCTAGATCTGCTGTGTCTTCACCTTGGAGGAAGCCGAGGTGTTGGACTAGGTTTGCTGCCGGAAGCTGTAAAGCAGACTTACCTCTGAACAGGCGCAGAAAGTATGAAGCTTCCCTTGTGAAGGGCAGTGCCTTGAAGAGGCCTGCGACAAAGCGGCCTGCTGCGAAGCAGCCGCCAACCGGAGGGCATCGAACTCCTTTCAACAGAAAGAGAGTTTCGAAATGTAGAATCATGGGCCGGAAGAAGGTCTGACGTGAGATAGATTGGCACAGAAGGGAAAAAGGTCGAGCACCTGCGGAGTGAAGCTTCTGCACCGAGTTGTTGAAAGAAAGGTGTTTGTGAGTGATGATTGAATTTTCCCAAGTTGCTGCAGGACATTTTGCCTTGAATCTTGTTCCCTCTTCATGGCCAAGGCTGGGCACTCAACGGGCAGATGGAATCATTGAGCTGCTTTCTTGTGGCATGGACCTTTCATCCCATTTGCCAACTCTTTCACTCTTGGTATCACCTATATGCCCGGCATAGGTGCACATGTCCTTGCTGGAAATGTTAAGAGAAAAAGGTCGCAAAACAAAATGTGCCAAAAGATATGGATGCCAAGAGAAAGATACGTCGACGGAAAGGGGCTGAAAAGACATCGGTGTCAAGAGACGGCGATGACATCAGAAAAAATATTGTCAGGAGAGAAGAGTGTGTCAGGTCTCGGGCTGCAGAGCTGTCAACAGGAAGGGTTTTCAAGATTCAGAGATGACACGCGCAAACCGGGTCAGGACAAAGTGCATTATGAGACAAGGACATCAAGGAGAAAGAAATGTCAAGGAGAAAGAGTTCCAAGAGATCACGCAGTCAACAACCGTGACAGGCAGGCGGTCGTGCTTGGATCCTATAAGCTTTTCACTTTCTTTCTATGCTTCCCTTGGCCTCCAAAAACAGAAAAAACACGTCACCAAAAAAGATTGTCTTCGTGAAGTTTATGACCTTTTAATGTCTATCAAGTCCCCTGTTTGTTATGCGTGTCCTTTTCTCTTGTTGTTGTTTTCTGTAAGGATTCAAAAGGGTCGGGGAAATAGGCAATAAGCCACCTTACAAATAATTATCATCGTGAAGCAGCTAAAATATGACAATTTCAATGAAACACCGTTAGGTAGAAATAATAATGGTCCAGATTCTATCTTCTTCAGAGTTGCGCGATCACATATATAGACGAAAAGGCCCACCAATAAATATACGTAGCAACGCGCAGATTTCTATATGAGATATAGGTGTATTTAGACGCATGTCCTTCTCTGATGAGACTTCGGTTGGGTTTGGTGCATGATCGCTTTTGATGCTGCCCTGCAGCTTTTTGCTCCAAATGCAGCACTGTGCCAAAATGTTGCCCTTGGGAACGAAAGTAGAGCGAACATGCAGCTCTACTGGAGCAGTCACAGTCGCTTTTATCGGTGCTGTGCGCTTCGATGGATGGATCATGCTGCATTCCAGTTGCTTGCCAGCGGAAACATGCCAACGTCACGTGAGCACCGCATCAATTTAATTTAATGCATCATATTATTATATAGACTCCGAATTGATAAACCGTAGGGTGTTAGACTTGGGTGTATCATTTACGGAGCAAATCGTAACTCTTTGGAAACGATTTCCCTATTGATTTCATATTCTGCGGTAGATGCTCGACTTCGTAGCTGTAATCTGTATGCAAAGAAAAATTATGGCATCTCAAGAGATTGGGAGTGGAACCTGAAAAGTATGATTTTGGGAAGAAGGCGTGATTGCATCCAAGTGTCATGTTTAGTTTGTTATTGCTATGCTGACAATATTTTGATGTGGCTTCCAAACTCGTATGGTGAGCTATACGATTCCAATCGCGTCGGTTTTGTTTCGCGACTACCTGCAAATTCGCCCAGGCCCATTTTCGGAAAATCTTGGGCCGTGGTTGCATCCCTCGAGCGTCACAGTGGCCACTTGGTCGTGACCGTAGAGTTGAAATTAGGTGCAAGTCAAAATAGGAGGTCCGGAACAAGCTCCGGTACCACACCCGTTCGATACCCCCGTTCCATACCTCCTTGAAGGATCCGTTCCATACCTCTGATCCATACGTTATGATATATATAATATTATATGTATCTCTCTCTCTCTCTCACTCTCTCTCTCTCTGAATATGTGCAGTCTGATTTTACATTTGTACGCGCATACTTGAGCGCACATACATACATGAGTGAGTACATGCAAGAATACTTTTACTATGCCCAAGCCCTGTGATTGTGTTGGCAAGTCTGTGCCTGCAGCGTTTGTTGTGTGATGGTAGGGATGTGCTTGGCTGTTGTCGGCTGGCGGTCTAAGAATGGATTGCCTGTAACCCTCCCTCCCTCTCAACCTGTGGCAGGTTTGCGCCTGCACCACTTACAGTTGCTGCCCGCTGTGGCACAGCTGTGATGTTTGATGGTAGAGATGCACTTGACTGTTGCCAGCTGGCAGTCTAAGAATTGCTTGCTGCGCTACTCTCGTTCCAAACTGCCAATTTTGATAAAGATGTGCTGCGTGGTGGCAGGGCTGTGCTGGGCTGGGCCGTTTCATTCCAGACCCCGTTCCATACCGTTCCATATATACCCGTTCCAGACTTGGACCGCCCATGTACCACCTCTGCCCCACTCCCGGGTGAACCAATGACAGGTTCTCACATAGACTGCTCCTAAGCCATCCTTTGCGCGTGGGGAATGGGAGCCTAGAGTCTTGCTACGTGGTGACACAATCTACCCCATAGGGACGTCTGAGTTTGAAGAGTAGGAGGTGCACCATGCGACCTGCGTGACAGGTCTGAAGCTGAGTGGACAGCTAGTGGGTGACGCTGGGTACCGGTTCTGTCCTATCTAGTGCAAGAGCACCAGCCATGCAAGACAAACCTGCGATGAACAGGTATACAACAAGGATGTCGTGCAGATGAGAAGTGAAAATGAGCGGCAGCCAGCGTGAGTAGCTTCAACATGCATATGCTTGAGATGTATATAATTTACGTTGCATATATACAGTATACATACATATATATATATATAGATAGATTTTTGTCAAGCCTATATTTCATCACACTCCAAAGGTCCGGAACAAGACCAGTTACGAAGCCCCTTCGTTCCATACGTCCAGAACACCGCGGAACGTTCCATACACAATTGTGACTCGCAGCCAATTAAATGAAGAAAACATAGAGGTTGCATGGCTTAGCTGATTATTTGATTGAATGATGCCTATATTGATTGTTTGTTTGAAGGATGCAGTGGCAATGGCAGCTCCATATCCCTTTGACATTTCTTTCTGGGCTGGACTAGGCTCCAGTTTCTACACCGACTTTTTCGACGTTGGCCGGATCTACCCAGCAGGCCGGACGGAGAGATGAAAGTGCGGTTGCTGGCCGATATTTAGACATCTGCCCTGTGTCAGTTTTGTATCAGCTGCTTCTAGACATTTGATTTGAAGAATTATCTCCGTATGCAGGCTTTGGTCAGCTAGACTGCCTGCACTCTATGTTCAGAAAGTAATGCGATCATCGCCCAGGCTGCAGAGAATCGCACAATTTTTGACGCTGAGGAGGCGATTGTGACTGGACCGACCATTCAACAGCGCATGCAGCCGGCAGCAGCAACCACTGGCAAAGTCTTATTGAGATACCATTCAGTTATGTAGGTTGGTGCTTGTTCTGATTGGTGTGCAGTGGTGTCACAATGTTCTTCCATGTACGCATAGGGTTATATACTCGTTCATTGTGGTGAGAATATTATATTTGTCTCGTCTGCTTTGAAATGCGAAACTACTAGAAGTCGTAGTAGTCGTCGTAGTAGTAGTAGCAGTAGCAGCAGGAGGAGGAGTAGTAGTAATAGTAGTAGTAGTAGTGGTAGTAGTAGTAGTAGTACTAGTAGTAGTAGTACTAGTACTAGTACTAGTAGTAGTAGTAGTAGTAGTAGTAGTAGTACTAGTACTAGTACTAGTACTAGTAGTATAGTAGTAGTACTAGTAGTAGTAGTACTAGTACTAGTACTAGTACTAGTAGTATAGTAGTAGTAGTAGTAGTAGTAGTACTAGTACTAGTAGTAGTAGTAGTAGCAGCAGCAGTAGTAGTAGTAGCAGTAGCAGCAGCAGCAGGAGGAGTAGTAATAGTAGTAGTAGTAGTAGTCGTCGTCGTCGTCGTCAATTAGTGGCCTACGGGCTGTGAGGATTGGCTTGGAAGCATCGTAATCATTGTTTGGCAGGGTTCATCTGCATCTCTATGAGAAGCCCTTGTTTGGCAGGCTTCATCTGCGTCCTGGCAATCGAATCCCCGGAATGGAAACAACGGATGGAAGCGAAATTCGAGGGATTGGAACGAGCGGCCTCGCAAGATTCTTGTCTGTATTTGCGCTGAATTTTCGTCGATTGATCACATGCAACGTGTTACAATAGTTTGAAATAAGCGTTCCATCGGCAACTATTCATCACATATGTTTGAAATCCCGAAATGACTACATGCTGGCTTAGCTTACTTCAGCGATGGTGTTGGTTTGCGTCAAGATTGGTGTCGCAACATTATGGCAGAGCATTGCTACTTCAAGCTCATTTTCCTTGAGCAAGAGAGCCAGGTTATGGTCAATAGGTGATTTCCATATTAGGTAAAAATATCGTCTTAAACTACTTGGCCGAGGCGTCAGAGGGATGAACGGTGCCGGGTCGTCGTGAAAGGGTATCAGGGGCCTGCGGAAGAGATTCAGCAGAAGCTGTTTTTCTATGGTCACTCATTCTGCAATGGGACACTGGGATGGAAGCCGCAATCCGGAAATATTGCGATGGTATTTGTTTGGGGCGAAGGTAAAGGTCATGGCTTGATAGTGCAGGAGACAATTTAGATACATACAACTTAGCTAAAAATCTGGGATTTGTTTTGCGATAAGTAAGAGAATACATCGGATGCTGATTTGGAACTATAGATTGCGACAGTAATTTTCAACGGTTTCAAGTTGCGGTTTTGAGACACGCATTCATTCAGTTTTTTCTGGGTGTCAACTTGGTGAAACTGCAAACATAGTTTAGAGAGATTGAATCCTGAATGTGTGGGGTTGGGTTCGTCTTTTCGTACCAATTAAGGAAACAATTCACAGATTTAAGTCTGTCAATATGTGACTTGATGTTGCTTTGGAGTAGTGAAAAATAGCTTACGGCACAGTGCCCTCAGCAATCGGCATTCTATTCTTTCAATTATACGTGTCCAATGCACAAGCCGCGACAGCACGTACAGCGAGTGATATTCCATGTATGTAAATACCCGAGGTAGTAAATCGTTTTCTCTATAGAACAGCTGCAAATCATTCCAAGCAACCAGCAGAAGATAAACTAGAAGTTCTGGTTTTCTCAATCACGCAGATATCACTTATCATAAGGTTACCCAAGAACATCAATTCTATCAACTGATTTGCATTTCTTTTCGTAACACGAACTTTTGGGTGACAATCCAATACACTACTGTTCAGAGGGTTGACCAAAGTTGCCATTTGAGGAGATCTTGCGGCTCTGCACAAGGACGATGATGGCACAGTCTGGGCTCGCTTCAAAGCAGCACCAGCTGCTGCATCGGCGGTGCGTCAGTGGAAAGAGTGCGAATACTCTGACTAGTTTTGCCAACAGGGCGTCATGAGGTAAACCCAACAATCAGAATATATCAGAATTCTCTATTGACATGTATTCTTGGGTAAAACCCTTCTTGGAGTCATTCAAGAACCCCCTAGGGCCCTAGGGTATGGCTATTGGAATGAAAAAAATTGGATCTACCACATGACTGCAAAGGAGCAGCGCAGACTTGTAAAGCTCTCACTCAAATTTGTAGAGAGTAAGCGGTAGTTAGCTAGGTTGCGAGCAATTGGCTCCAGCCAAAAGTAGGTGAAAGGCTTCGAAGCCACCGCAGAAGCGGCAGTGCAGACAGAAGCGCCACAGGAAAAGAGCTACAACCAAGGAGGACGGTCGCATTATACCAAAAGGTCCCTGCCACATATATATATATGTATATATATATATATATATCATATATATATGTAGAAATCTATGTCAAAATGAAACATCAAGTAAACATCCAACGTCAAGGCTATTTCTGCATCGCCCAGCCTGTGACGCCACCGGTGCTGGCTGAGCTGCTACCGCCGAGGCGGGAGAAACTTGTCGCCGCAGCGGGATGCGCGGCAGGTGGATGCTGTGCCGTGCCAAGTTCAGGGTATTCTTCAGGAGCATGGCCTTGGTCAAGCCATTCACTACTTGGTGGCTCATCCCACTTAGTAAGTGGGTTATAACACCAGTTATAAGTGGATTAACCCTACTTATCCCATTTATAACTTAACTGGTGTTATAAGTTATAACCCACTTACTAAGTGGGATGAGCCACCAAGTACCCCAATGTTTTTTCATTGGCAGTGGACATGTATGACATGTTTTAATGGAAACTATACTAAACTTATGAAACGTTTAATGAAACATCATCCATTAACTTATGAAACATTATGCCCTTTTCAGACCTACAGGTACAAGGGCAGCAATGCCCAAAATCCCTGTATTTGGTTGCGAAAATTGGGTTCATACCTATGTTCTTAATGGCTCGTCCAATATGGACACCCAATACCAACCATATTCATTGGGTCATATGAGATCCACAAATCCACCTGAGTTCCGCACAATGGTCATTGGCCCCACTCCCCCCGGCACTGGAGTTATTTGGGATGCAACCTTGGTAGCATCGGCATCGGAACTGATTCACTGCTCGTCTCATTGAATTGGTCTACCATGGTCTACCTGTTTTGCCAAGCAGCACCCTGAGCCTCTGCAAAATTGACATCGCCCACCTCGTCTGATCGTGACAAACATGAAATGGCTGCTTACACCTTTGGCATCTTTGTGAAAATAATGAGCTGAAAAACACTGAAATGCATAGGGTCCACATGAAGCAGCTTCACTAAAACAGCCTGACTTCGATGCACTGTAGCAGGTATTGATCTTTTAATAGCTCTGAAATTCATATACATTAATATTTCAATAAAGTACATATAGATATTAGCGAATATAAATATAGACATGGAACAATCCAGGTCAGTTTGATTCATCATTCCCTGCTGTCCCACAGCTTTCCCTCTCTGAGTTCTCCTGACAAGGCGATAGCCCGCCTTTTTGGTCGCATCATCAACCTGCAGAGACGTCGACAAAATCTGTGACTCCAAGTTGCTTGGCGGCTTAGTTCACAATAAGAACATATTTCATCATATGTCCGGAAAAGTAATGACCACATGTCGGTATGTTTTTCCCAATTTCATGGCCAATGTTCCACATGTTCATCCATTTTCCCCATTCGTGAAGCTCCATGGGACTCGTCCCAGCACCGGTGGTTTCGCTGTCGCGATTAAACCGAGAAACTGCATTGATACCCACATCAATCACCACGCATCCAGGCTTCAACCACTCACCACCTTGGCAGATCGTCAGGTGACGTCACCGCCAGGTCCCGCCAGGTATCCCCAACTGATGGTCGTCGTCGTCATCATCGTTGTTTGGAAGAATAAGGTTTACGCTCCATGGAATGGAATGAGGTATATTGAGGTATCCTATTGATTCTTGTTTGTTTGCCTTGTACTGAACCGGTTCTCATCTTGCCAATACGTTTCGTCGTTAAGTCTTGAAACTTGGAAACGCATTTAACATGCTAAACATTTCGAAAACGACAAGGCTGCCACGAACATACTCTGCCTTTCCAAGGGCGGCAATGACCTTATCATCAATCCAAACCGCAAATGTTTGCAGTGGATTGAGGATGCACCAGAAATGTTGAATGTTCCCTCCAAGCCCTTCATGGCATGAGAGTGGAATCAGCTGATGGCAAGAGCAAAGGAGTGTATGTTCATTGCTCTTGGCAACCAAACATGAGTACCACATCTTGATCACAAACACATGAGGGATCTACTGACCAGTGGCAAAGAAGTTTGGATCCCACAAATCTCCCGAGAATCTGAGGCAAATGACGATGTCAGCATTTCGGAGGTAAGAGAGCATATCTTTGGTGCGAGAGTGACAGACTGTCACTGTGGCATCCATGGATTGCAGGATCTGCGACACCGGCATGCCCACGATGTTGGACCTGCACGATGTTCTATGCTGACCACCAAGTGTAGACAGTGTAGATCTCAAAAACTCTGCAAATGAGGAAAGCCAATTTTTTGGAAGCGCCAACATGACAGAATCAACAAAAACATACAAAATCAACAACACAAAGCCCATCGTCCATTCAATTTGAAACCACACTTTGTTAAGTTGTTCAGCTTCAACTGCACCTGCCCAGCACCACCACATTTTTGCCGGCGACTTCCACATTACTGCGTTGAAGCAACTCGACGCAACCTGCTGGCGTGCAGGGAACCTCGGACTTTGCACCAAACAGCTTCGCGGCCAGAATTAGACCCTATGGGCCTAGGAGGGAGTTGGGTCTGCAAAACCCGAAGCTGGTCCACTTGGTGCTTTTTGGGAAATCAAGGCACTTTTAGAGCAAAGCCTCTCTGTACAACGGATGGACGCTCAGGCGAGTGCGGCAAGTGGTGGAAATCCTCCTTTCATGCAGAGGTTGCCGACCTGAATGCCATTGATGCCACTGAAACGTCAACTTTGATGGACGCGGCAAGATTTCCCCGGAAAGGGGGTATACAGCACCAAAGCGGATAAAATGGTAGGAGGAATGATGGCCGCAAACCACTGGATTTCGCGGGTACCCTCTGCCGGCCATTTTTTGTTTGGCCAAGACGCATTCTCAGCTGAGAAACCATCAGCATCCTCGCCACGGACCGACAAGGCAAAAAAGCAAACTGTCACAAGTACATAGTCTCGAGATCAATGAATTGGTTTGTAATTTATAGTATTAGAGGCCTCCAAAAAGATGTGCCTGTTTTAGTAAGATGTTACCTTTTCTATCGTTTTGGAGGTTGTCCACCGGAAATCCCGGTATTTACCATCAATTTGGAGGCTTCCTGTAGATGTTTCTTTCCAATTCGGGGATCTCCACGGCCCGGTCACCGAGTCCACCAGGATCCACCAGGTCCTTGTCCACGCGGATCTTGCTGAGTACCAGCGCAGAGTCGATGTGCTCCGGAAGCGGCAGCTGAACCAGGATGGAATGCACCTTGCGGCAAGAAGTATCTGAAGCCATGCACGCAGAGATCATCTTTGGAGCTGCCGATTTTGGGTTTGTCTGATTTTTTTTTCGGGGAAAATTTAAGTAAATTTGATGGTTGATCAGCTCCCTTATTTAGAATTGTCATTTCGGGATCTCCATGGTTGGACAAACCCATTTATCATCATTTATCTCCTCCCTGTTCATGGCAAACGCTCTACCGCTTCACTACAGTCTGCTTCATGCAGAAAACGATTCTATGTATATGATACATGTATATATATATATACACACGTCTGATCACGCACAATCCACCTGAAACCAAAAATAGCAAGGGAAGCGTGGCGGCTGACCTTTGGATCTGAATTGAGCTTCTCCAGCTCCGACAACAACTCCTATGGCACAGTGAAGTCATCTTCATAGTATCTGATGGGCTGCAAATATGATTGCTGGAAATTCCCATCATGGGGCCTTTTATTCGATAATCATCAAACTAAATTAACTAAGTGGCGGATTTTCCAGCCATGTTTGATTACCGGAGGGTAATCAATCATTGAGTTTCGCAGAAGGATTGCCAGGAGCTAGAAAGATTAGAAAGGAGTTCTGCGAAATTGTGTTTTTGATCGCTAGAAGCAACGTCCACCCTTCCGTCGCTGTTCAAGTTCACTCCTGCTGGGAGACGGTCTCTGGCAAGACAATGTCCACCGTATGGAAACCAACCTGTGCGGCAGTCGCATATCTTGAACTTGACATAGGACTTGTTTGAAATCCAAGGGTAGAGAAGCTGCTTAGAGCGACTTTGTGGCCGTGATCCTTGGCAGTCAAGATGGTTTGCAGTTTGCACATCAGCAGACAGCCTCCTCAGCAGCCTTTTTCTTGTTCCTCACCTCAGAATGTGATGAACCGCAGAAACATGTCAAGAGTCCACCAGGAAATGTCCAAGCTAGGGAGCCCTGCATAGGACTGGGAATCTTTCCGAGATCCCACCAAAATCACGGCCAGGCCAGGAGTAATATTGTGAGCAGCCTTCAACTCGGCCTCAATGAAAGCTGCTGACACTGCTGACGCACATGTCACAGCAAACTACGAAAATCTCTCTGACCCCTTCCACGAAGGCTTGATTTGATCCAAGGAATTTATCGATATTGCTCACACTTTCAGAAAGATGTTCTAAGACGTCTGCCGTGCCCTTCTTGATCTCCCCTCGCACCTGGCAGTTGGAGTCAGCCAATGTTGAAACAGCTGGGCTGGTGGGCAATCCACATGTTTTCTGGCCTCGGCGGCAATGGCCTTTCCATCGATCGCTTTCGTCTCAATAGGTGGCGGAACCTGTCGCGCCTGAACAACATCAGCCAAAGGGAGGTGCTCTGCCAACGAAATGGGGATGTGACCAACAACAAATTAAGGATACTACTAATGACAATAGAGCGATAAAATATCATTTACTCCAAAGTCATCAACAAGAGTCAAAGTTCAAAATCGGCTGGACCGAAAAATGCACCAGTTCATGGGATGTTGAGACAACCAGTGGGTGGGGTCCGGGTATCAAAATGCCAAGGAGAACTATACGAAGGAGGCTGTGGCAGATTCTGCCAAAACTGAGTGGACGGCACTTTCTCGTTGTTTCTGTTGAGGTGTAGGAAAAAAAAAATGATGCAAAAAGCACCCAAAATCAGAAATTTCAAAGTGTCCACCCTGGCCTCTGCCTTGCCCCTCAGCAGTTTCGACAAGCCCAATGCAACCACTGCTCCACACGCTGAGGCGGCAAGGACACGTGCCATGGCTCGGAGGTCAGATTCAAAGCTGTTGGGTTTTTGTATGCAGATGGCTCCCTCATGATGCTGGTGCCCTAACAATACCCGTGTATTGCCCCAGCAAGGCTTGGCAAATGCGAGTAGATGATGCGATCGGTTTTCACCGGTCGCAAAGCTTGAAGGTACTGCAGAACATAACGCAAGATCAATGGCTTACCGTTCTCATGTCGCTGCTTACAAGCAGGTCGTGTGGTCAAGTCGCCTTTCACAGCGTCGGCCCTCTTTTCAAGGCTGCTCTCGACAGTCCCAAGCATAAATCCCACCAGGATAAGCGGGTCTTAACTCGAATCGGGAACCGAAAGATCTGAGATCAAGTGCTCTCCAAAGGTCCAGCATAAGCTGCACCTGTCGCTGTAGACTAGGAAACCATCAGAGCAATCCATGTACTGCAAATGCTGCCATTCAAGTTCATCTGAGTCAGCCAACCATTGTAGTTTTGCAGGACAGTATTGGAGCGCTTTCCATCGATGCATGTATTATGGGGCCTCCTTCTGTGATAACTTGTTCTAGCCAACTATCTCTCCTGTTGCCTGCATCCCTCTCTGTCTATAGATCAAATCTATCGAGTCTCTTTGGTATAATGATCTCCAATCTTTAATCTACTCAATTCCAATCTATTGCTACAAGCTACACTGGTCTAACCGGAGTCTAACCCAACCTCATCTCCCAATAACTTATGTAATGTATGTCTCTCTCTCCAAATTTGACGGCCTACACGGGCTGGGTGGATACCACTTTGAACTACCTCACTGTGCACACATCTTGCAGTTCCCTGTGGGCGCAAAATCCTAAAAGCTTCGTCGAAGATTTTTGGATAGACTCTTTCAAAGTGACAACACGACCACTGTGAACGCTGTGCAGGTTTACAAGCCGGCATACCTTCTAGTTTTAGTCTGCAATAGCACTATGAATCTTGACCACAATGACTTTTGAAGCAAAGAGAATCCAAGATCCACTACAGCAACGTGACATCTAGTCACAATCACAAAAGTGAGAGCCAACGGATTGGCACAAAAATATTTGAAACAAAATATGATCTTTGTCCAAACAGCTGCTGCGTCCAACATTGGGACGTCAAAAAACCAACGGCTATGGCTCAAAATGGATTGGCCCAAATTTTGGATGGGTTAATACGGTCCAATAATGTTGAAACAAAAGCTTAAAATACTAAAAATGGCTATATATGGCTATATAATAAAGTTGGCAGGTTCATTGGTACCCAGTACATCCCAGTACCCCATTGTTGAGCCATCACCAACTCAGAACACTCGACGTGTCCTTCACCCTCACAGCTCAAGCCACTGGCACGTCTCTGCGCAGCGGCAAGCGGTCGAGGCCAGCACTCTGCCGTGCAAGGCTCAACGTGTTTCGTAGGAGCATCGCCTAGCTGCCAGGCGCCATGCTGTTGGGTGATGGTAAAAGCCTTGATGTAGCTGATGTAGATGAATGTCAATGATGTAAATTGATGTAAATGGAACTAAATAGACATATGACATATGCGCATGAAAGTGGTGCATAAAAAGTTAAAACGCTTCCTTTTTCTTGGACCACCAGAAATCTAAGCACGACGTTCGGATGATGAGTGCTAGAGTGCTACAGGTCATGCAGCAGCTGGGATTGGCACAATGGTCATTGGACCAACGCCACCAGGGACTGGGGTGATTGCAGAAGCCACCTGACAGGGACACACTGTGTCCTTGCTCCAAATCTCTTGTGCAACAGGTAGATGTTCCGGTCAAATTGGGAGCACGACAGGTAGGGTTTGTTCAACAAGGTGAACTTTTAGTGCTCTTCTTGGCAGCGTCTCAGTGGTGTTTTGGCATGTTTATCTTGCAGTGCAAGTCTCTTGGCATCCTCAGTTCCTCATGTCTTTCTTGGTCAAGCGACTCCCATGGCTTCGTCGAACTTGACATCACCAACCTGGGTGATGGAGTCCGGTCAGGAGGAGCTGGGGGTTGACCTTTTCCCCTCCGTATTTAGAAAAGACACATTAGGACCCAAAAGACTGGATGGTTCAAGACTAGAATTTTAAAATACGTTTAAATTGTGGTTCCTGTGTTTGTTTGCTGTACTGATCCATACCTATTCGAGCGATTTACATCCAACTGCCCAACTGCAAGAAGCACTCCTTTAGGACAGAAATCCTGCAGTATTTCCCACTCTGACTCAGCCCCAGGCCAAACGATAGCCAGCTTTCTTTGTGTCGTCATCAATCTGTATCAGAGCAGGCAGTTGAATACTTCAGTTTGTGACTTTCACTGCAAACACTCACTCGACACAACCTATTCGCATCTATTGGCGCTGTTTGTCCCGGTGTTGCGGAATTCAAACAGCTTCAAAGTTTGCCAAAACACTGAGTTGATGCCAACGTCAATGACCACGCAGCCGGGCTTCAGCCATGCGCCCCCTCGGACGTGACCACGGACAGAGAAGCTCGAGCTGCATTGGCTATACTGGGAGTCAGCATGTTGATTCTCAAATTGTCCAACAATCATTCTTTCGCAACTGCAACAGAAAGGCATTATTATATATATATAGAAAAGGTGGGAGGATGTGCAGGACTCACAGCTTCTCTTTTCTTACGCGTGTGCTAGGTAGACAGGCGATGGTCTGGCTAGTACAGCTGTAGGTGCTAACATGTGCATTGTTATGAAATAACAATCGGTGTGCAAGAGGTCGGGTATCACAGATATCCCTAACACTCTTGAAAGTTAAGTGTCAAAGTAAAATACTTAGACACAAACCAAACCAAACAGATAAAATCTGTAGAAAGGGCTGGAAGCCCAACACAGCCCCCCCCCCCATCACCCCGCAGAGGGGATCAGGGAGAGGAGGGAGGGCTAACAAAAAGTGGACAAGGAAAGGCTGGTTGACTTGAGCCAAAATTGGCAGTCAACCAGCCATCCATCACATCTTTTCAAATCACATGCAGACCCTACCCAACCAACCTACTCCCATGTTAGAATAATATAATTATAAATCATAAATCATAAATATATATATATATATACATTTCATTATAGTTATTATATATTATTATACAGTATACATGTGAGTAGGACCAGAATCAAACATCCTCCAGTGGATTGGAATCAACTCGCCTGGCCCCCTTCGAACTGAGGCATTGGCGTAGAAATTCTGCTTTGCCAATGGCGGCAACAACCTGGGTCTTGGGGTCGCCTTTGTTCCGCCAAAGGGAAGATCATGGAAGATCCATACCATTGGGCCAAGGCAGCCAAGGCAGCCAAGGGGCAATGTCAGCATTGCGAAGATACTGCTCAATGTTCTCTGTCTTGGAGTGACAGGTAGTGACCGTTGCATCCATGGAGAGAAGCATTTGGGCCATTGGCATCCCATTCAAGTTTGACCTTGCACACAAATCCACCAGGATCCGCCATCTCTTTCTGTGTCAACTCTCCATGACTTCCCACAGCCCAGCTCAAGCCCAGGCCTCCCCAGCACCGTGGCGCTCTTCCCGGCCACTTTCACGCCACTGCGCTGCAGCAGCTCTACACAGCCTGCTGGCGTGCAGGGCACCTCGCAGCACGACCAGAGGACCAGTGACCACCACATCCACCACAAATCAAGTCTATCTGCGGGAAGGCCACGGCCAATGGTGCATCACCTCCTTTGAGACAAAGATTGCCAACCTGAAAGGAAATCCCAAGATGGTCATGATACTGGAACAAAAGGAGGTACTGGGAAACCATGGGAAACCCTTGAGTTGATCCACGATCCTGAACATTCTTGTTTCCAACGGTGGGTTTAATTCAGATTTCTTCAGCATCACTGACATGTCGAGAGGCATTTTCAGCAGCAAAGCCATCGGCATCCTTGTCCACACGGATACTCTTCAGGACAGTGGCTTCTTTGATGTGTTCAGGCAATGGGAGCTGCACCAGAATACCATGAACCTGCAAACATAACGGGATTTGTGGTTGGCAAACAGAGGTTCGAAAACTTCGGCAAAGATGCGGGCGGCAGATCATCCGGCTGATAGCAAGAGAAACAGCGGGTTCAGCTTGCGCCTCTGGATCATCATTGAGTTTCTTGACTTCTGCCAGGAGTTCCTGGGGTCTGAACCAAGGTGCCCAGGTATGCGGAGCAAGAGCTCTCGGCAAGTCAATCAATCTAAAAGTCAAGAGAATACAAGTTGAAGGCCTCATTCTTATATGTTTCATAATTTTCATGGGCCCCTACTTGTTTCAGGGGACTACAATCTGCATGGAGTTACAATCAACTCCTTGTTACATCCCATGGAGTCCAGGCTCCTCCTGCGTCACGGTGTCAGGAAGGTGGACATCTACGACGTGGAAGCCAACCTGCCATTTTTGGTGCGGAAAATGAGGAATAGAACCCCCACTGAAAATAGCATTTTGAAGTGGGAAAATATGGGAAAATGATGATGAACCACTGGATTTAGGGAAAAATCAAAAAAGGACAGGTTGACCTGCGAATGGACCCTGTAGAAATGAATTCTCTAAGACCAGAAATGCCCAGAATTATGGGTCCATTGGGGGCCCTAAATGGTTTGACCCACACCAGGCCTCTATCGCGGCCTTCTTCTTGTTTTTTACCTTAGGCTTCTGCGTGTCACTGTCAAAGTCATGATACGTCGTGGAATACCAAAAGCCTATGCAAATGCAACCGAAAGCAACAGAGCTGATGCACCAAACTCCAGCAAAATGTAGACATCTCAAACATCCTTGCACTATGAATCACTAAAGATCAGGACTGGGAAGGACAGTGCAACCCCTTTCGCTTTTGATTGTGCTTTAAAAAAATACGTTCCCACTAACTGAAGTGTGTAATCCTCACTCCGACCGACAGAGTAAGCAAGCAAAAAAGCGTCCCAAACAAGGGAATCCCGAGTTTGCTTGGTCTCCCAACGTAGGACTGGGAATCTTGCCGGTCACCGACCAGCAGCATTGCAAGTCCCGGCGCGAGACCCTTCTTTTACTTCAACTCTTCCTCAGCAGCCAACTCCCTGTTTCCAACTTGGACCGAAGCATCCTCCAATGAAGTTGGATCCTTAACCATTATTCCTTCTAACCAGCATCCAATACATCGGTAAAAACAACAGAAAAGGATCCCCATGGGTAGCCGGAAGCACTTTGGCAAAAAGCTTTTCGGATGCAACATCTCAGGGACACTTGGGGGATCTGCTGGGATCGACACCAGGGTCTATGTGGCTACATGGTTGTTCTCAGCCAAGGGGCTGTCAAGTCCTTGACTTCGGCCCGCACCTCAAATTGGAAAAGGTTTGTAGAAAAATAAGCCCCCGTGTCAATGGTTCCAATAACCCTTTAGAGATATTCAATGGCTAAACTCCTTTGAAACTCAGGCTAATTGTAAGGACCTATAAGGATGTTCCAAGGATTTTCAAAGCCATTGGACATCGCCAACAAGACCTCCTGCACTAGGGTTGTGACCAAAGCAGCAATCGCCTTGCCATCAATCAGCTTGGTTTCCATCTTCCCCTGTAGCGAAAACTGCGCCATCCAGCAAGAGTTAGCTTTCCAATCAAAAATCCTTGTGCCTTGCTGTAGCCTCTCAAATAGTTCGTGTTCCATCGATGTTCTTCCCTGTTTTATATGGGAATCAGGGAATCACAGGTTTTCACCGATCCCCAGATTGAAATCAGCTGCACACTGCACACCATGTTCTTTTGCACATGGCCTCCACTGCCATGATCCTCGTCTCAGCTCTTCTGTGTTGCGTTTTGCAATGCGGTCACAATTGGACATCCTACTTGTGCTTGAGATGTGCAAGGTATATGTACATTGTATCTATATATGGTAATATATGCATGTGTGTGTGTTGCATGGAAAAAAATTAAACACGTCCTACTACATAATGGTGCATAGAATATCTGTACATATCATGTATGTCGTATACAATGATCATAATGATGATGATCATGATCATGCATGCATGCGAAGCAGTTCTCCCATCACAACATATCTGCCTGCTTTTCCAAGGCTCCTCCATGACTTTGGTCTCTTTTTTGCACAAGCTGCGAGCCAAAGAATCCAAAGGGACATGGCGGTTTCTGTGAAAATGATGAATACCCCAATTTATGGCTAAATTTACGAACATTGTGATAAACCATCAAATTTGCAAAACCCTAGTTTTAGACAAACCCACATGATTAGTCAAACTCCATGAATGCCTGCTCCTAGAAAAATGAGTGAGCCTGCAAACCTTCAATGTGTCGTAAAGTATCTGAGGACCAGACCCTGAATCATCCATCAATGGCAGCGTGTGACCACGGAAACTCAGGAAATGTCCTAGGAATTCCAAGCTCGCGGGATCCAGCATCGTGGCTTCAGTTGCTTCGCTAGTGCCAGCAACGCTGGGTGCTGAGCTAAGGGGAGTTGGTCGGTAGGTTGTGTGCACCGTGTACCTGTGGCACAAACCGGCTTCAACCACCACGACCTGCATGTCACAACATGTCACAACATGTCACAACACATCGGCGCACACGGGGCGTTGTTTGGTGCGACCAACCCAACCTGCAAAGTCTTTGTAGTTGGGGACAGTGGCCTTGGTGCGCATCCTGGAGTCGCAAAAGCACTACAAATGTAGTTGTTGAACTTTGCAACACCATGACAGTCGTGGAAGACACGGCTCCATTTAAGATGGAGACTGAAAGCATCACAATTGAAACCTGTGGCACGTGTCGAAAGGCTGTGAAAGTCCACTGAACGGAGGCTGATCAAGCCACATGTCTGGGTGGCTGATGGTTCTGTCGAAGCTTGTACCAGGCCAGAAAGGACGTTCCAAAGACAAACAGCAGATTTCACACGTTTCAGATTAGCCATTTTTACTGACGGATCATTTCTCAAAATTTCTCACTCTGCTGTCAATTTGCAGTCTCGGCATTCAGCCTCAGCAGGCAACAGAATGATGACCTCCTCCCAGACAACACCACGTTCTGCATCGTTTACATAATGCACCTGCGATCAGTCAAATAGCTCTTGCAAAGAAAATGAGATGTAAAGTTAATGTAAAGAAAGACACATCATCGTCATGACAAAAACCGAATCCTCAATGCAACTGCGATGTCAAAGTAATAAAGCAGCTAATATGTCATGAAGGATACCAAACGGAAGCAAGAGTGGAGACGGTCCGCAATTTCTCCTTTGGTGTCTTAATGGATACTTGACGAATCGAAGTTCGCCCCAGAAGTGCATTTGAATCGCACTTGATGCCAGAAAGGTTACGCTCTGTCTTCGGTGGCCCATGACACTCAAGGTCCAGATCTTCATGGGAACGGGAACCGATGGGAACCGACGGACACTTTCTCTGGCACAGCAGTCGCACACCAATCGTCAACAGGACTCTGACTTGAAGACATGCAGCAAGCAAAATAAAATGATTACACTGTAGATACACAATGCTCTTTGAAGTTGCTGCATAATGTTTTATGCTTGTTGAATGCAACACAAATGCTTACTTTTCAAGGGGGAATAATCATAAGTTCTCAGCAAAGCATGTTGAGGCTGACTGGACGATGGCACTACCCACGAATTTGAATCGAATTCTGCTCTGAAAAGTCAGAGCAAACTAAGCCCCGAGGATGTCATCAACTTGGAAATTCTCACCCAAGTGACGGCTGAGTGATTTTGAAATCACTTCATAATGGAACGCACCAGCGGCATACGCTGGTCTTCTTTTTTGTTGGTCCCCTGGGGGTAGGACCATTCCTGTCAATCACATCTCAAAAGCAGAAAGGCCCAGAGGGCACGCAGTATCAACAAAACAAAAAAAATAAAAGCGCTCTGTGACAGGATTCCATGGACCCCCTCAGACGAATCAAAGCACATTCGTCTCCTGACCCAGCGATAATTCGCCAACGTCTGCTATAAAGCCTTTGATGCAAAGAAGCATCACAGCCTCTGATCATTTTCAGAAGGCCTTTGCACATCCTTCATCTGCTCCGCTCTGCCAATGTCTGAGACAGTAGGGTGAGGAGCTTCTGACCAAGCACCTTCTTTCATCTGCTCCGCTGTGCCAAAGTCTGAGACAGTAGTAGATGGAGGAGCTTTTGGTGGAGGAGCTTTTGACCAAGCACCTTTCATCCGCTCTACTGTGCCAAAGTCTGAGACAGTACGTGGAGGAGATTCTGACCAAGCACCTTTCATCTGCTCCGCTACTGAGCCAAAGTCTGAGGCAGTAGATGGCGGAGCATGTGGTGGAGGAGCTTCTGACCAAGCACCTTCTTTCATCTGCTCTACTGTGCCAAAGTCTGAGACAGTAGATAGAGGACTAGCTGGTGGTGGAGGAGCTTCTGACCAAGCACCTTCTTTCATCTGCTCTACTGTGCCAAAGTCTGAGACAGTAGATGGAGGATGAGCTGGTGGTGGAGGAGCTTCTGACCAAGCACCTTCTTTCATCTGCTCCTCTGTGCCAAAGTCTGAGACAGTAGATGGAGGAACTTTTGGTGGAGGAGCTTTTGACCAAGCACCTTTCATCTGCTCCGCTGCTGAGTCAAAGTCTGAGACAGTAGATGGCGGAGCTTTTGGTGGAGGAGCTTTTGACCAAGCACCTTTCATCTGCTCCACTGTGCCAAAGTCTGAGACAGTAGGTGGAGGAGCTTTTGACCAAGCACCTTTCATCTGCTCCGCTGCTGAGCCAAAGTCTGAGACAGTAGATGGCGGAGCTTGTGGTGGAGGAGCTTCTGACCAAGCACCTTTCATCTGCTCCACTGTGCCAAAGTCTGAGACAGTAGATGGAGGAACTTTTGGTGGAGGAGCTTTTGACCAAGCACCTTTCATCTGCTCCACTGTGCCAAAGTCTGAGACAGTAGGTGGAGGAGCTTCTGACCAAGCACCTGGACTGATGCAATGTGAAGCTGGTCAAGGGGGTGGAAAAGTTCACGGAAACATCTCCTAGACATGCCCAGACCCTTCGGGGCAAACATCTCTAAGAACGATTTCGAGGTAAGCAGGTAAGTTTACAGGAGTTGAACGTCAAAGATATGGGTCTAGTTCTTCCTGGTCTACATCCCTAATTTGCTGGTGGAAAAAAATCGAGGGTTTGTTGGCTGACACACAGAAATTCAGCAGAATGTTTGTTGAGCCCTGCAGCGGTCGCTGAGGATCTGGCCGGGGAGTTTGGGCAACGGCACTGCAAGAGACTTGCACTGCAGGCCTGAAAGAGTAAATTATCAACTGCTTCTCCCGCCCATGCATTGTGTCTCATTTAAAAAGAAAAGTGTAGATATCCGCCGACCCCGGGCTGACGCAAGGGGGAGCGCGTAAGGGAAGAAGAGTTTGTGCCAAAACCTTCTCACATGCTATTAGCCATGGTGTTTCACTGCATATAGATTTTATATATATATATCCGCCGACCCCGGCTGCGCAAGGGGGAGGGCGCAAAGGAAAAAGAGCTACTGCTACTACTGCTACTACTGCTACCATTGCTACTACTGCTACTACTACTGCTACTACTGCTATACTGCTACTATTGCTACTACTGCGACTACTGCTACTACTGCGAGTGCTGCTACTACTGCAACAGCCTCCGGTTTGGTGGAGCTTGCACGCCTTTCCGCACTTCACTGCCATGGTGTTTTACCATCTGGCAGGTGTGTTTTGGCTGCTGTGATTCAAAGCTTGTCTGGTTGATCTAGAAGGGACGTTAAGCCTCGGGTTTGACGGATCACGCCTGTCCGTCCTTCACTGCCATGGTGTTTTCCCATCCGGCAGGTGTGTTTTGCCTGCAGTTTGGGCTGTGCTTCAAAGTTTTTCTGTCGGATCCGGAAGGGACGTTAAGTCTCTGGTTTGGTGGATCTTGCACGCCTTTCCGTCCTTCACTGCCGGTGTGTTTTGGTTGCAGTCTGGGCTGTGATTCCAAGTTTTTCTGTCGGATCCAGAAGGGACGTTGAGCCCCAAGTCTTCTGATGACTCTTACATCCTTTGCCTCTGGTTTGGTGGATTTGGGACGCCTTCCCGTCCTTCACTTGCTATGTTTAGTTTTTCTAGGGGATCAGGGGAAACGTTACTCAGTTTTCTGGTCGCGTCCGTCCTTCACTGCCATGGTGTTTAGGCGCGGCGAAGGCGCATTTTCCTGGCTCTTTTCCTTCTGTTTCCTGCTATATGTGTTTAGTTTTTTTTTCTAGCTATATTAGCCATTTTTCTAGGCTTTCAGAATCAGAAGAAACTCTAGACAGTTTTCTGGTCTTTCTCCTTGGCGCGTCCGTCCTTCACTGTTAGGCTACCCTATTTTCAGGCAAATCCAAATCAAACCTTTCAGCTGGTATGTGACAGTTCCCGCCTTTCAACGCCAATATTGTTTTCCGGGGTCGGCGGCGGGGCGGCAGCTCTTAAATCTTCAGATTTCTTGCTACCTGGATCAATTTCAGTGCACATTGGCTTTCGGAAGCTGCAGCTGGCCTGGTGCCAGAAACTGACGATGTTTGAAAGCCGTGCTCAGAGAACTCTTGCAAAAGCTGCCAATTGGAGCGGCCTCGAAACAGTTGCTTCAACTGCGGCAGGAACCATAGCACCAAGCTTTCTCATACTTCCAGGCCACAACGTGCTCCAAGTGTAAAAAGGATTAATCAAGCGTCCTTCAGAAGTTGGTATGTTGATCCGAAGGTGACGAAAATACCAAACCAAATCCAGATGATTGAGTTTGTGTACAACCGAGGCGTTATAGAAACTAGACGTATCTTTCGGAACCTGTTCGGGTGAAACATGTTGTGTCAGCCAGTATGCTACAATCACACTGTGTCACCATCATGAGTAGCAGGGATCACGCCTTCAGCACCGATGGCATGGCCGAAGCGCAGAAGAGCTGCTTTGGAAAGACTGGAACCTTTCAAGGGTGAGACGTATAGTCAGACTCTTACAGAGACACAAACCCAGGTCCTTTAGAATCCTTTAGATTTATAATGGGAATGATCGTTTGTCATACAAGTTACATCAAGTCAAGTCACCACATTGCAACACCCTGGTGAGAAGCACTGCAGCCAAGGGGCCTGGATTGGAGAGTCAAAAGGAGCAGCTTGAGCTGTGCCTCAAATAAGGGGGTGGAGTGGAGTCGGGTGGAGACACTTGAAACTGCAAGGTGATGTTACGATATGTTATGATGTTGATGTCTGCTGTTGCTGTATCTATTTTCGGCTGAAGGGTAAGGCTGGCGAGAATGTGCCATTGCTTAGGCCCTCAAGTAATCTGCGCTGGGTGTTGGGCTGGCTGCTTGAGTCGCTGGAGCCAGATGGAGCATCTTCTTTTGCACCTTTCTCTTCAAAGCCCAATGCAATCGATCCGCCTCATCCAGGGGAGTCTATCTTTGTATTTTTCATCAAAGCAGTATGGGAGGAGTGGAAGAGGCAGAGATAGGACAAGTAATTTCAAGTCAGGACCTTGCAACTTGCCACAGAGCCATGAGACAAGAGAAGCCAAGGATGAGTTGCTATTGCTGCGATGCCCTGGCAGTGAAGTGTTGTGAGGTGAAACTCCTGCCTTCAGTTTTTTTCCCTGTTGCTCCCACTCTTCCGCTTGAGCCTCCAAGAAGCAAGGACAGAAAAGCCCGAGAAACTCTTGTCACTGGATTTCCGGCAGCCTTGTCTGCACTGGCCTAAAATAGGAAATTGGTTTAGCCCCAGACACTTTGGATATTTTTTGCAAGAAGCTCCTAGTCCCAATAGCTAAAGTTCGGCTAAAGTGGCTCCAGTCTCACCAGCATCGCTCAGTGTGACCCATCCCCGCCTCCGTCCAAGGCTGCCAAGAAAACAATGTGCGCAACCGGGCATCACGTTGGCGCACATGACGGAGATCGCGAGCCACCTCAACCTGAGATGGAATGGAGAATATTGGATTTCTATCAGATTTCCTTGGAGTTGTCTGGATTCTTGGCACATCTGTTGAAACATGGAAATTCTTGATGTTTGCAGTCAATGAAACTCTTCTTTGTCATGCAGGTCACATGCTGTTGCAGAAATGCAGCAGCCAACAAGCACAAACTTTTTTAAGCTTCCAGATATTGCCACGTGCAGCAGGATGATTCACACACCACACGCTCCTTTGTACAGAGGACTGCGCATCTGGACCATTGACACCAACAGATGTCACTTGCCAGGCTTCACACGCGATCCAGGCTGAGCATTTGCGAAATGGGACGAGATGGGCAGAGTGGTTCTGCCATTTTGCAGAACCCAGGGAGGCAGGGAGGGCCACTTCAAACCTCAGTCATGCAACACCTACCGGAAGACCAGGCCTCAGGGGCGGAGCCTCAAAGAAGGTTTCCCTCAGTGCTTACGCCGAAGGTGTTCTGCGACTGGCAAGCGGAAATGGTTGTTAACTGTTAGCACATGCGGCAAGCACAGGACGCGGACAATTCATTGAAGACAACGAAGGCGGCAAAATCCCCAGCCTCTCTTCGCTTGGTCGCCTTCATCCTCTTTCGCTCTGCTCGCCGCTCTTTTTTGGCCTGGCCAAACTAGAATCCGTTTCCACTTTGGTGATCTACAACCGCCTCCTGTTTTTCGAGCAAGAAATTTGCAGTACATAACTCAGATTTGTGCGAGCAAACTCCCAACCTTGAGCTTTTCCTGCAAAGTTTCAGCCTTACTGCACAGTTGGACTCACACGTAGACCGGGCAGAACTCATCTGTCGGTATTGACGCAGCTATATACTTGACGCCAACAAGTTCTGGGTTGGCCGCTGAATTGAAGATGCCATTTGTGTTTGCTCCACACCTGCACATCTTGGTCTGTTGGTCTGCAACAAAAAAGCATATCTTAGCAGGCATTTTGATATGATAAATCTTAAATGCAGCCGTCATGAGCATAGGCACCAGCTCACACTCACGGATCTTGTGAGACTGTGAAGATATCACTTGAGGAATGTGGGTTTGTCAGCTCGATGCTCTTCACAAAGCTTCTATAAGACCCTCAATATCTTTACATCGCAGTGCGTACACTATTGTACATATATGTCTACACATCTATATACATACATATATATAATTATATATAATTAAATATACATACAGACACATACACACAAACACGTCATATATATATATCATATATGTATAATATAGTATATACACTGTACTGTATATTATATATAGTGGATTATACATTATACATAGTATATCACATATATCATATATGTACTATGTGTTTTGTATGTATATATGTATATATACACCTACATTGTATGTACGAATAAATCAACTTCCAAGAAAGTTAGCAGTAGCCTGGCACACTTCTGCGACTTTGAGAAGGCTGCCATGGCACACTCCTTCCGTGGGAAATCCAGAACACTTCGAGGACAAAGTGAGTCACCAAGGTCACCAAGTTTCCATATGGAGAATCCCCAATGTATTTGGGTACATTTGGGTACTATGACCCCCAAACTAATCATCAACAGAGATTGCAAGTGTTAACGGGTGCGTTCTCTTTAAATACCCATGCAGGCCCTAGGTATTACCATCTGGAAGGTTTCGGTCAAATTTGTTTCAAGATTCTGCAGGGAAACGTGAATGCTGGTTAGGACCAGAATTTGAGAGGTCTCCTCACAAAAATAGTGGCCACAAGTAGTCTGCACTGCAATGCTCTTGCAGCGCTGCCAGGCTTCCTGATCAGTGAGAAACAAGATCAATGCTGCAGAGTTCTTGAGATTGCAGCCCCTTAATGGAAGTAAGTCGTCTTGGTGAAAAGAAAAAAACAACAAGTTGGTTTAACAAGTTGGTTCAGCCAAGGGCAACTCGATTGACTCTCCAAGATCTCCCCAAGCGCTCCTGTTTCTTCGTGATTTCTGCCAAGGGGCCCCGCACTCATAGCACTCCGTTGGCAACTCTTCATCGTCACTCTCATCTGTACTGACCTTACGTGACTGCATATTCTCCCGGAAAAAAAAATGATTCCACAAACAAGGACACTAGCCAAACAGTACAATAGGCCGGCTATATATTATGTATGTCCGAGTTTCTATCTCTTTATTTGCTTGTTAAAGCAGCCCAAGAATCAACACACTGATCAGGACGCCTAGGCCTAGACATGCAAAGAGCTTGGTTCAGCGTCAGGAAGCAACTGCTGCACTGGATATAGGGGTCCATGCCGTGGAATCGTCGTCGTCATCAAGTGGTCGCCCCTCTTCTTCAGCTTTTCTTCGCCTGCCATGGCAGCAGAGATTTCTCTAAAAGGTCAGGACCCAAGACCTGTTGAACTGATTTCCAGAAGAATCCAGATCTTGGAAAGATTTGGAAAGCTAGGACCTTCTGATGCAAAGGCCACCATGCGTGAAATCAAACACGAATCAGAATGATCAGAATGCCAAGCCTTTCCATCTTTCTCTCCCATCTCTTTCTTCGCTTTGCTTCTATTGCCTCCCAGAAATCCAGCAGCGAGCTGAGTGAGCCAACCGCCACATGCCAATAGAATATGTACAGTGACCCACTGCAGAGTCACATGCAGACCTTAAGAACATCTCAGAACAATCCCCCAGCCTTCTGCTTGGCTTCCCACTCCTGCTCCAGAATGTAACTGGGTTTGTAGTCTGACCTGGACATCCCATCGCAGTATCTTCAAGCCAAAGGTGTCAGAGCATAGGTCTCCAAACTCTTATTCCAAGCTAACTGACCCAACTGAACCTCTCAGTCAATCCAGAAAGAAAGCACATGACTCAATGCTGCTTACCAGATCTTATCAGACTCTTCGGTGAACTAGGAGGCCAATCCCTACTTGTACGTTTCAAGCGTCGGTGCATAGCAACAATCCACCCGCATCAGCCTGTCGTGTGCAAATTTGCAGGAATCCCCGAAACCGCAATAGCCTGTTTCCTTGGTCAGCATCAAGCTACCCTGCCCAAACACACAACAAATTACAGGCTTCCGTTCTGTGAATCACAAGCTCCTTGTTGCAACAAAGCGGCTTTGTAGTCCTTGCAAATTCCGCCTTACACAACTGGGCAGACATAGTCTGTTCTATGACAAATCTTCGGACTGTGGACTGGCTTGCGTACCCAAGCTAGATGATCTAGATGTGTTGCGGACGTCCACTCCAAGCCTTCACCAGTGGTGCCAATGTACTCAATGCGCAGGGTGCTTCGCACATTGCTCAAACTGCTTCGAAGCGGTCCTCCACAAGCAATTCCATATGTGCAAAAGGTTCATCATCACTGCTCAATGGATCTCAATGGGGACGATACAAAATTAAGAGACGTGAATTGCCATTTTCCCAAGCTGCCCTGTCCACGAATGACAGTGAGCTCTCCTAGCAAACCTGTGTACTTGGAGTTGGCAATGGCATGTTCACTTCTGTTGGCATACCGCCTCAGTCCGCCAGGAGTTTAGCAACAGGAAAGCACTGTAAGCTGGACATACCGACACGGAGCATTCGATGTTGCTTCTGCTCGATGTGTCCAAAGTAGCCATCGTTGTCATTGTCATTGGTCATTGTTCACTTAAATACAATTCCAAGGTGCTGATAGCCACCGAGGCCTCTGTACACGCCTTTCTCCAGAGTTCCGTCCTTCAGGCCCTTGTTTATTTCTTCGTTTCGTTCCTGAGGTCACAAGTATTTGACTCCAAGCAACTGAAATACCAAGGCTTTGCAAAATCGAACGCATTTCCTCACCAGTCATCACTGTCCCATTTCATCTGAGAGGCCAGGATAGCCCTGTGATCTTGACCTGAATGCATAGTCAACCGTGTGACCACAGTGACCGCGGTGACCGCCCAACATGATTTCACCACTTTCAGGGCACGACTCACGTCAGTGTCCACCTCGAGCCGTCGAACTGCATCAGATGATGGCCTGATTTGTCGGATTTGTCGGAGATGAGAAGTGATGTCGACTGCAAGGTGCTTCACTTCAAAAAGCAATGCCAACTGGGTTGCCGAGCGTATTCTCTGTGGAGCCACTTGCCTGACGAACTCAGAGTGGCCCTGCAGGATGATATATTCTTTACCAAGTCTCTATCGAAGCCTCTGCCATACACCCCATAAAAAAGCACCAGCCTTGAAACCCGAAAAAACAGCGTCTTGTTGCCGATCAGCAAATCGGGCCTGGGCTTGCAACGTAGCCAGAAGCTGAAAACCGAAACATGAAAGTTACAACATCTGGAAATCAGTTGCTTCAGATAGAATATGATAAAATGACGCCAAAATCCAGGAGTCTTGTTTTCACTGTTTTCACTGTCACGGCTATACAGCACCAGGGACTCGGCTGCTTCAGACATTGGCTCTTTCCGTGTCGAGGCTGCAATGTTGCCGCCTGGAAGCAGAACTGGCATAACTGAAAAGCCAATCTTATTTCAGAATGTTTAAGGCAGGATAACATTATATAAATTATATATGTAACATTGCCTTGGGCACTTGAGGCAGTCAGAGCTTTGGTTGAAGACAGCACGGGCGCCTTCATTGTTGGTAGTCGAAGAATTCGTACTTCGGCGCGACCTTCCATTCAATCCCAACAATCTGATAGGTGATTTTTCTTCAGCGAGGGAAGGCAAGCTGGTCGTTTCTCGGTATTCTCTCAACTCCAATCATCTATGCCGTTGAAAATTGAATAAAATTGTTTCATGGTTTATCAGATGCAGCAAGTCATTTGTGTTGCCACCTCTACACGTGTGCAGGTCCCTGCTTCATAAAAGCTTGCGCACAAATACAGTGAATCCAAAGCCGGCAAAAATACAAAGACATATGTAATGTAAGCCATCTTCAAGCAGTTTCCTCACAAAAACTTCAATGGAATATGTTTTTCTGGTCCTGGCAATTCTGAAGGTTTGGGTTTGAAAAAAAAATGCATACAAGCCTCTTGGCTGCCAAATCGCCAGCTGCCACAGTGGGTGTATCCTCGTCACCCTCCGCTCCCTCTCTGGCACGGGTGGCCTTGCAGCAAGATGTCGCCACATCAAGGTGGCTGATCCCTTTTTGTTACGCCAAGAGTGTGCAGGTAGATGTATGGACATACCATATTCCCATCTACATCTGTGATATATCTGTATCCAGATGATGTATATGCATACTAATTTATAATATTATTTTGACTATGTATTCATGTTTATACCCCACGAAATACCCATGTAACTGTCTTAGACTGCACAGCACTACATAAGATGCTGAAGACTCAAAGGCCTTGGGTCGTTCTCGCTTCTTGAACATGGTCCTCAACTCAATCTGGGCATCAAAAGCTCAAGGATTCAGAGCTCTGGCCAGCAAAGATGTTATGCAAGTATAGAAATGAAAAAAAATGAAAACATGTCTCAACAAAGAAAGAAAAATGCAGGAAAATCTTGGGACATGCTGACATGCCCTTCACCAGCAGGCTGTCATCTCGAAACCACCTGCAAAGCTGACGGCGGTCCTGGGATAAGAAACTCACCGGAGTCTTTACTGCTTGAGCAGAAGACAGCGATCAAGTCATAAGCCCCACATTTAAGAACGATCACATGAGAATTCCTCAAAAGCCCACTTGGCCAGATCTATCTGAAAAGTACCATTGCAATGCAGGAGCCAACCGGTATTGAAGCAATGATCATACGCACTCTACTATATCACAAAAACTTCTAGTTTTATGTGAGATCACTGCTCCAGAAGAAGCAGAATGAGCATACATGTATCTGGAGGAAAAGCCATCGGCAGCAAGAATACAAATATCAATTCTTGCGCCATGCAAACTTTGCAACACAACGTGACAAAGCTGTAGTACCACTAAGTTGCTGGGTTCCCTGCTGAGTCCGACTCCAGCAACAACTGAGCCACCTGGAATGTAGCATAAAGAGCAAAAGCAAATCGAGAAGAAGTCTGGTTTAGCGACTACTAGCAAAAAAAATCTACAGTTTCTCCAATTATTGGACGTGACCAACATATCACAATCCTGAAAGGTCTATCATGAGAATGTGATGATACTTGAAGGTTGATTTCACTTGCATCGCATCTGGACCTTCACCTGTAATCCCACCCTCAAATATGTCACTTCGTTTTCGCAGGCCCACCACTCCTTCCGTTCCCCAAGACCACAACGCGACGAAGTTTGGTAGAACATCCCATGGAAGCCCCGAGCTGGCCCAAGAAACTGATAGAAACGGCACTGCCGTAATACCCAGCGGCCAGTGATCCCCATGGCCATGGCCTCTGGGAGGGAAAGCTTCTGCAGCTTCTGCTTCTTCATCCGCGGAAATGTCATGATTTTCTCAAGGCTCACCCAACCATCAGAATCCATGAGGGACCGCAGGAAGGCATCACCCACCAGATTTCCTGCCACGGCAGAAACTCCAAACCCGCTCGACTACAAGTGAAATCTTACAGTAGCCTTGCCCACCTTCCGAGAAGTAGTATTCCACCTGCTGCCGTGCTCCTGGCTGCTTCTTCTTGGTGTCCTGGACTCAGAAAGGACAGAGTTTCCTAGCCAATAAAAGCGGGGACGTCGTCCACAACTGAAAGGGAAATTGGGCAATGGCCCAGATTGTGGGGCAACATGAATAACTCTAAATGCAGAGATTCCTCGTTTATCTTGGTTCGAAAGATATGACCAATGGGCAGAAAGGCAGACACCACGGCAAAAGAAGACAAACAAAGACAAAATGTTTGCACACAGAGCCAAACCAAACCATGACAAAAAATGCAACGGTTCTCAAAGAGTGGCAACTAACACAAATTGCAACTGACATGTCAATTTGAGTATGTAAATTTGTGAGATCCATGGAACACCACAACCAGTGAATGACTCAAATGCAGAAGCCTGGCCAAGGTGCAGCAGCCAACTTGGGGGAAAAAGTCAAGGCTTTTCGAGGAAAGAGCGGCAGTCGAAAGTTCAGACTGAAGACACACAGCAGATCAGAAGTGGGCCTTACAGCCAAGCGTGGAACATACATCAACCACCACAACTCCGCGGTAACACTGTGTGTGCAATCTGCGAAGGTCCTTCTTCACTTGTCGAAGTTTTTTTGGTCGGTAGCTCAAAATGGATGGTGCAGCAACTCTCTTTTGAGCACGAGTAGTTTTCTTCACCTCCTTCAGAGTGCACTATGACGTTGGACCAGTGAAAAAAGAATATCTGGAGTTCGATCCAAATCTCCAAGACTGGCTCGTACTGGCAATACCTTTACTGCTTTACTTGAGCCTTTCAAAAAACATCAGTCCTGAGTTGCAACCTTCACGAAGCCAGCAAGTTTGGAGATGGGCTCACACGGACGTGGCATGGGCGAATGGATCAGGCGCCACCTGAACTCCGCCCCGTTCGGCCTGGCTCGAGGCCTCTTTGGATCAAGACGCTCCGACACACACCGTCCAGTCACCCCAAACTTTAAGAGACCTCCCAGCAAAATCCTGGAACCTTTTTGACATTTCCTGACCATACCATCAGGATCCATCAGGAAACACAAAAGTGCAAGGATTGAGATGACCAGAACAAGAGTGTGTCTTGAAGCTTTGCTGAAGACCAGAAGGTCTACTTGATCCTCAATCTACAGGATTAAACTCCGCTCAATGTGGAATGCAGAGTTGCCAAAGAGCCGCAAATAGTTTGTATGTTTCAATCTTGTTTGTTTCATTGCCGCAAGTTGACAAAGCGCATGTACAGCAACATGTAGCAGCTCAGGCCATGCTGGGCACGCCTCATCAAAAATCACCCACTTGACCTGTGCAAATACAATCAATCACCAATGTCCCACCCACAAAGAATCACATAAATATGCATCAATGTCTCATAAATGCCCCTGTGATACCCCTATGAGCAAATACACACGAGGTTTAGGCTGCAGAAAAAGGTCAACATACCCAGGAAGGAGCCTCTCGGAGACCTTTGTCGCCACGGTAGAGCATCGAACCTAACCGAGGTGAGATTCCACTGGCGTGGCATTCCAGCATGTCTATGGAGATTATTTGAAGTAAAAAAAACTTAGGCTCAGGGAAAAAAGAAACTAGTGACAAAATTGTCGGCCCCAAGGCTAACATACTGATGGTCCCCCTCAGATCAGCTCAGTGCTGGGAAGCCCACGAAGAATCTCTGTGGTCATGATGACACAGCTGGCCTCGGGATTGAACGAGCTCTGCCCTATTGTTCGCATCCAACAAATCCCTCGGCTGTACTCACATCGTTTATCATTGTCTTGTGTTTTGGCTAAATAAGACCGCATGCACCACCGGAGAAGTACCGGAAGAACAAGATCGTTTTCGAGTGACTCTCAGGTGTCGTTTCTGGAAGCACCGGAGTCAAAGCAATGAGCCGCAAATGTTGTCTTTTACGTATCTCATATCTCTGAATAATTTTACAGTCATCGGGGCTTGAATTTGCGTCGACGATCTTCGACGGGTAAAGTGGATATCCATCCTGTCCATCTCTGGGAATGCCTCAGGATTCACAGCCACATCGCCAGTCACCTCGGCATGGGGATGCTCACAGGTGGTATCTGCCAATGCCCATCAAACTGAGGTTCCAAGCAATGCCAATTGAGCCAAGCCCTTCAAAACGACGCGTGAACCTGAGTATTATTCAGATTCAGCAACCCACGAAAATGCGGAGGTTGTGGTCTCTGAAAGCTATCGAACACAATCAATCATACACTGCACAATTCAGAAAGAAAAGCCTTTTGTTCTGTGACTTACCAAAGGCTCTCAAGTACCTAGCAAACAATGGAATCCCCTTGACTTCCGACAAAACTCTCAATGCACTGCCGCGATGTCGGTTTGAGATCTGGACTCTTGGAATTTCTGATTCGATAGCGCCTGATGGTGTGACTTCCCGGGCATCTGGGTTGGGTATAGAAGTTGCATCTCAATTGCATTGCACGCAGGAGTTTCTGGTAAGGAAAGGAAAATGAAACAACGATTGTATATGATTTTTTCTGTATTCATTTCTGTGTCTTAGGCATTTTCTTCGAGCAGGCCCAAAAAGCAAAAACGAGATTGCGGAGGTTGTAAGACACAATGCAATTGCCACCATGTAAACCAGTGACTCTATGCTTTCTACTGAGTTGGCTATGGAAATTGACCACCTCCCCAAATGCACAGGTTTATTGTTCCAGTACTCCCAATCATTCACCCCACTTCCACCATTCCTGCCTTTATCGGAGAGGTGTAGATGGTACGCATCCCACGCTGTAGAGCATGGGCAACTGCATACTCTGCGACCACCTAAACATTTGCAAGCAAGCCAAGCCGTGCTGCTATGTTTTATGCACATAAAATCAACGAAAGCATTTGGGTTTGTCTGAAAATCAGGTACCCAAAATTCCAGTGGTTGATTTTCCCCTGCAGAAATGCCATGAATTAGGGGTACACGGTTTTCCCCCATTTTCAGACACACCCAGTCGAACATATATTTGAATCACAGACTATCAGAGTGTTAAAGCTCTTCAGGCCGCACAAAGAGTCCCACAGTCTTGCCAGCAGAGGTGTGTGCCGCCACCATGACATGCCTGTGCGCACAGCATCATTCTCTCAAATTTTGGGTGGCTGATGACTGCTAATCCTTGGAAGCCCAACGGCTGGTTGACAAGTCTTATTGGATTTATCCATAAGCGGCGGCGACCCACAAATGCAATGGGAAAATGATGATCAGTCATGAGATTTTAGAGTAATTAATATCTTATTTTCCAGGGAAAAAAAATCTCCGACTGCTCAGAAGCTGGCTCACTTCTCTCCACTCTTCGAACTGCCCTCTTTTGAAACCTGGCAATGCACGAACAATATGGCCCCGTCTACATGCAACAAAAGCTGCCGGGAAGGCAGGTTGCTTTAAGTTGCACACATTGAAATCTGCGAAGCTGAAATAAACTGGACAACATTGTCACAAGTTTGCCAACAATGAGATCCATTCATGTGGCTACAGTTATTCCTTGGGGTTTTGATATGTTCAAGAAAAAACACCAGGTTCCGAACTCCATCACTCTGAGACCCTGGGTCTTCCAACAGATCAAGTTCGAAGGGGAAGTTGAGCGCTGGAGAAGGGACTTCTTCACGAAACCTGGATAGACAAATGCCAACCTGGAGTGGCAACTTCATCTGGCACTGTGTAGAAAATGTCATGAAGTTGGTGTTTTTGTATGGTTTAGGATGTCAATGTGCCTCTTAAATGTTTAGCCACCGGAACTGTGCACAGTTCGTACTTCAAATGATTGTAAGCAACCAGTTGAATCAAGACTGGCAGCATGCCAAACCAGTGGAAAGCAACACAGCAAATAAGCGTTGTGGTTTTTGATAATAGTGCAACTATCGGAATATTTTTTTGTGTGACTGCATCACTGCACCTCTCACAGGGCCATCAGGGCCCAGACCCCTCGACATCCCAGCTATCTTCGAAGGCCCAATCTTGAGCCTGTGGCAATCCTCTCTATCAAAAAAACATCTAATTAGGCAAGCATGAGGAATAAACTATAGCTATAATTGCAGAAGCAGTGCTTCAAGGTATTGCCAATCCTTTGCTACGAAATTTGGGCAAAAGGAATATCAGCAAATAGACTGACATTTGGAATGTCCATTTCGCATCAGCGCGACATTTGCAAAACTGGCAATTTAAAGGCACCTGACTGGACGAGTATGCGATGGAAGCTGAGACCTTGTCGTGGGTGTTTGGATGTGCTGATTAAATCCACTAGGATGGCAGGTGGTTCAGTCCCAAAATGGAAGGTCCAAGCTAAACAAAACCTAGGTATGGAGGGGTATGGGTCAAAGTATTGGCCCAAAAAAATGGACGGTTGGGATTCAAGATATTGGTTAATATTAAAACATAAAACTAAATCAGTTCCATGGGTCTTTTGATGTTTTTTGGTACCCCATGGTTGATCCATCTCCAGGTGGAGCAAACTGAGAACCTCTTGGAACGCCCCCGGTGCTCCCAAATGGGACCCCTAAACACAGCAGTGAATCGACAGAATGGGGTTTCCAAACCTTAACAAAACCAGGTTGGGTCCGACATTGCATTTGTTTAATTTAGCCAGAGTAGACCTTCCGGAAATGAAAAAAAAAAATGTTGACATTTTGTGGTTGTGGTTGTTGTTGTTGGTGTTGTTGTTATTATTATTGTTGTTGTTGCTGGTGTTGTTTTTATTGTTGTTGTTTTTGTTTTTGTTATCTTGTTGTTTTGTTGTTTTGTTGTTTTCTTGTTTGTTGTCTTGTTGTTTTCTTGTTGTCTTGTTGTTTTGTTGTCTTGTTGTTTTGTTGTCTCGTTGTCTTGTTGTTTTGTTTTCTTGTTGTTGTTGCTGCTTAGCGATACCAACGCCATTCGATCAACTGGTCTTCACGTGTTATCTATTGCCTGTAATTCCGGAAATGTTGACCGAATGGGCAAACCTGTGTGCAAAAAAACAATAGTTCAATTGTTTTAAATAAAAACAATGCGTTTTGTCTAGTTTTTTCAAATCCTTTTCCCTGGTTCGGGACCCACAAACCTCTTCCTCATCTTCATCCCACGCCAATTCCTTGCCAATACGCAAAAACAAATTGATTTAATTGTTGAGGGATCAATGCATCTGATAAAACATTTATATATATATATATAAATGCTTGCAACTGATACTTTCTCCGCGTCACCTTAGATGCTGGGTTGTCAATTGAGTGTTTACAGAATTATTATTTTTTGTTTATACATTTGACACCATTCCTGACAAAACCATTGCAATGAAAAATTCTACACAAACACCACATTTCAACAAACATCAAACATCATGAATGTTGGCATCGCGTCCTCTGGTACTTCTGCACCAACCCGGGAAACCTGGGCAGAGATGCCACACCCATCGGACTGTGCCAAAAAAAATTGCCTGAGACATCGTCACTGTCACAACAACTTGCCTCACTTTGGAAGAACTGCAGCCTTGGCCTGGCAAAAAAACAATGTTGCACTACAAAAACCATAGCAAACAAATCTAAGGAACCACATAGCGAATTTGTATGAGTCTGTTTCGTTTTGAGAATTTTGACATTCACTTGGACGCCGACTCGCTTTCTGCATCAATCATTGCCAAGGAATGATGCCCACCTTCAGATCAAAAAAACACTAGTTGAAAATTGGGGCGATGCAAGCACAAACATAGACAAATTATCCGAATGGTCCGAATCTAATGATGTTTTTAATGTTTCCATCGGATGCAAACGCGGTCATGATTTAGTTTTTGTGGAACCCCATGTGGTTTACTCACGCAACAAAAAGTGTCAAGCTATTTCTAAACAAATGTCAAGAAAGAAATCGCGACACTGTTGC